GAGACAGGGTTGAGCGCACAACCTTATGTTTTTTAGCCAGCGCTGTCCACAGGATCTTATCGCATGGTATCATAGAGTCTATCTCTTCAAAGGCAGATTTCATAGTCATTGTGGCGTTGAGTAATTGTACAGTGAAGTATGGGTACAAAAAGGTGGTTTGGCGCATTACGCGAATCCGCGCATTACGCGCACGGACACGGTATCGTGTCCATGCGCACAACACCCCATCACATCAACCAACCTATACAGATCGCGTCATAATTCCACCAATATGGATCCGATTCAGAAAGCAATTGAAGAAATCGAATCGTGTGAACCAGTGCACATTTCTCGTATTCTCAAATTGCGAAAAAGTATGGTGTAGTACACTCAACGTTGACGTGGAGGCACCAGGGCATATGCAAATCACATAAGCTTGCCCACCTTTCCTCCACCCACAACACGAGACGGAGCTTATACAATACATTAAAGAGCTCACCAAGAGACGTACACCTCCTATACGAGTAATGATACGCAACTTTGCGTCCTCTTTGGCTGGGAGAGAGGTTTCAGAAAGCTGGGTTACCCGCTTCATCTACAGGAATTCAACCCATCTCATCTCGCGCTGGCAGACAGGGATGGACCGCAATTGCCACAAAGCTGATTCAGGGGCTAAGTACAGCTTGTATTTTGAGCTGTTACACAATAAGATAAAAGAGTATAATATATTGCCTGGGCAAATATACAATATGGATGAGAAGGGCTTTATGATTGGGGTAACTGGGAGATCAAAAAGGGTCTTTGCCAAGGTGATATACAATCAAAAAGGGGTTACAGCTGCTGTTCAGGATGGTTCAAGAGAGTGGGTAACGGTCCTAGCCTGTATTTGTTCAGATGGTACAGCTTCATGGCCGTCTCTCATCTTTCAGTCAGCTGCTAGAGCTATACAATCAAGCTGGGCGGAGGCAATCGACCCAGAAAAGCACTCAGTCTTCATCAGCTCATCTCCCTCTGGCTGGACAAACAACGATATAAGGCTTGCTTGGTTTAAGGAGGTTTTTGAGAGAGAGACCAGATGAAAAGCTCGCTCAGGATACCGGTTACTACTCCTTGACGGCCATGGATCCCACTTAACCATGGATTTTATCAACTATTGCAATGACAACAAGATTCTATTGGCTGTCTTTCCTCCTCATTCAACCCATACGCTTCAGCTGCTTGATGTTGGGATGTTCAAGCCTCTTTCAACTGCATACTCAACTGAGCTTTCATCCCACCTTCATAGAAGCCAGGGGCTTCTCCCAGTAGTGAAAGGAGACTTCTTCCTGATCTTTTGGCGTGCCTGGGTTGCTACTTTCAAGCCTCAAACCATCATGAAGTCCTTTGAAGCAACTGGGATACACCCACCTAACGCTGAGGTTATACTCAAGAGATTCCACAAAGAAGCATCAAGTTCAGATGAAAGCTCACCCTCTGTCCTTAGTGGAGACGATTGGCTCAAGCTAGAGTCTATTGTACGTTGTACAGTGAAAGATCAGAGCAGTAAGGAGGTGAAAAAGCTCCGCCAAAGTTTGCACCACATCTCAGCTCAAAACAGTATCCTCCGTGGAGAGATCAGGGGCCTTTGGGACGCCCTTTTGGTGAAAAAGAGACACCAAAAGAAGAGCTACACTCTCCAACTCTCCAACCCTCAGGAGTACCACGGTGGTGCTGTTTTCTGGTCGCCCAGGAAGGTCCGTCAAGCTCAGGACAACGAGGCAGTACGACAACAATAGCAACAACAACTACAACTCCAGAAAGCCGAGAGATCCCCGCTGAAGGAGCAAGCTTGATTATATAAGCTTCAACAGGCTGAGGAGAGACGGGTTAAAAGAGAGAGGCTCAAGGAGGTGCGGGAGAAGGAGAGAGCTGCAAAGGCTGCTGCCAAGGAGACCCAAAAGGCAGCGTGCGACGCTGAAAAAGCTTATACAATTGTCCCAAACGGGTAAGCGTAAGGCCTCACAACCCTCTAAGCCACCTAGAAAGCGTCAGAAACGTGTTGTTGTTGATTCATCTCATGTACAAGATGGTGGTGGTGCGCCAGCTCCTCCACCTCAGTATACCCATACACGGTCAATACGATGCCCTAAAAAATATTCTGAATAGCTAGAAAGCTTTGCAAGCCACTATATAGTAATACTCTAAGAAACCTTGTGATAATAACTACTGTTAGTGACTGTACAGCCTCATCTTAATTGAACTTTTAGTGTTGTTGGGTGCGCAAAACTCGAACATGCGCATTACGCGCACGGACACGGTAATATCTGGACTCGTGGAGACGTAATGATAGAAAAATAGAAAAATAGAAAAAAAAAAAAAAACATAAAAAAGAGAGTAGGGTGTTTTCCAATACAATCATTAGAAGGATATGATGCATCCTCCGGGAGTCGAACCCGGGCCAATTGCTTGGAAGGCAATTATCCTACCGTTGGACCAAGAAAGCTTGCATGAAGATTAGATTAGTCTCATGCATTATATGCACTCGTTCTACGTAGTGATCATTCAAGACACCAATCTTACAGCCCTCCCCACACTTCCGGTCTCGAACAACTCCACCAGTCCAGCGCCCACGCACTCTTCCAATATCCACTCGAACCGCATGCCATAGAACTGTTTCCACTTCTTCGTCCTGCCCGGAAGCACACCAACAAACTCCCTTCGCGCTTTCTTCCTCTCTTCCCTCTCCGCACTTCCGGTTCCTGCGACACCGCCATCCCATCGCTCTCGTAACACACCGAGAGGCGCAGCCTTAAACCTGGCCTTTTTGAGAATGCTCAGCAGATGGTTCCGCGCATCGACAAGGAGCTTGATGTGCATTCCCATGTGCGGAAGCGAGAAAGAGAAAGTACCCGTCGAAGGGGCGCGAGAAGAAAGTGATGTGCCGCCGTGCATGTGCTGCGTTGCGTGTTGGCCACCGACGGCTTCCAGAGAGCCGGCTGCGTGACGAGATCCTGATGTCGAGATTGCGGACAGAGAGTTGGCGCCTGGTGAAGCGAAGAATGCAGAAGCGGTTGTGTTGAGTGTTGTGATCGAGGTGAAAAGGCCGGTGCCTGTGAGCGCGGCGATCTCGGCTGGTGTGAATGCTGAGCCGGGAACTGTTGTTGATGTTGGGTTTGCGTCCATCAGGCGAATGTATTTGTCCTTGAGTTCATCAGCCAACCCATCATGCGCCCTGACAAGTGCCTGCCACTCCCTCACACTCGCAATCCCATCGCCGACCGCAGCAGAACCGACACCACGATGCGGTATCGTGACTCTCCTCACCACGCCCTTCTTCGCTAGCTCAGCAATCTCTCTCTCGATCATCGTCGAACTTGTACTCAGCGCGTCCACATGCGCAATCGTAACGAAGGGCGGCAGTTGCTTCCTGAAGTTCAAGACTTCTGTGATTCGGGTGCTGTTCATGCCGGCCTTCTCTGGCATGTCGCTGAACATGCGGTTCCGGATGTACTCCATGTACTGTGGCACGTCACGGAAGTTGAGATCGGAAGCCAGGGAGGCGACAATGCCGAGATCGTCCAGCTCTTCGTCTTCATCGTAGGCAGTTGATTCCTCGGTTGGTAGTGATCTCTTGGATGGGCTGACATTTGATGGAGAAGAAGTCGCGCGTTTGAGGCCTAGGACGGATACTGCACTTCGTCGCCGGCTCGTTTTTATACGAGATGAGCGTGCTGGTGTCGTTTGCATGATATCTTTTCTTTCTACTGTCCTTCCTGGTGGAGATGTGTAGGTGTGGCGTAAGTATTATGTGCTTGGAGCAGGCAGCAGTGAATATCAGTCAGGTGGAAAGAGCGAGCCGTAGTCCCTAGTGAGAGAACAAAAGAAAATCATGGCGGCTTACGGCGAAAACATGTCTTCAAACTAACAAGTCAAAAGAGTGGCGAGGTGAGGGTTGATGTTGAAGCTGGAGCCTCGAGGTGTTCAGCCTCGATTTGCCATGCGCCACACCTCACGATTGGGACCAATCTGCCAGTCACATCGCGACGCGTGATTGTCTCTTCTGCATTTCTTGAATGCTTCCAACTTGATTCGCCTGGCTGCGAGGTCATTACACAATGTCAGTCCAAGCGAATTAAAGTTTGTTTGTGACGACAGCGTCGCACGCTGCTTCCGTCCAGGCCGGGGAGCGACTTTCCTGATGTCATTCCCACGCGGCAGCTTAGGGAAAGCCCAAACGGCGCATCGTTTAACAAGACCACGTCTATGGCTCTGTGGGTAAACTATCGTCCAGACACAGTCCCTCCGCCCGCCGTCATGTCCTTGAACCCAGAGCCCGCTGCTCCTGAGGAGCGCGAAGCCCAGCAGCTGCCACCCAAGTCGTTTGCGGATGCCGCGCAAGAAGCGCTCGAGCCTCAATCACATGCGAATGGCACTGACGGTGCTGCTGAGAGCACTGAGCACAGCGTCGACGTCCAGACAGACGGCCCCAAGACCAATGGTGTTGGTGTCCTCAAGATAGTCGGTACCGACGGGCACCAGCAGGACGACAAGCAGTCAGCGACCGAGTCGACCAAGGAATCGTCCAAAGAGTCGTCGATCAAGGACCAGGAGTCTTACGAAGGCACTGGCATTGACGAGACACCAAAGAGCCCCAAGGCAAAGACGCATCGCAGAAAGGGCTCCCGTAGCTCGCTAGGCTCCGTTGGCCGCACATACGGCGTGTCGATGAAGGACGATATCAAGGCCGCAGCGACCCATGTCAAGAACGAAGCTACGAACGCAGCGGCTGAGGCCAAGGACGAGGCGACTGTTTTGAAGAAACAGGTAGATGACAAGCAGGAGACGCTCGAGCGTGAGACGAAGCAGAAGCTGGATGATACTTTTCTGCCAGAGACGCCTCGTCTCGTCAATGGCGATGCGTTGACGACCGTCAGGCCGCCAAAGGAGGTTGAGAAGGACAGCCGCATCGACAAACCACTGAAGCGCAGAGACTCAGAGCTCAAGGCAGGTCGACAGGCAGGTGCTGGATGGGCAAAGAGCAAGTATGTTCGAAACAACAACCGCCTAACCTCAGGCAGTTGCTGACCACCACCGCAGAATAAGGTTTGCACCTATGAACGTCCCCCTGCAGCGCCGACTCCAGACATGCGCTGTGCTGATGCACACGCTGAGCATCGTCGGCTCCCTCGCCATCTTCTTCTTCCTTTGCAGCATACCACTCCTCTGGCCCATCCTCCTGCCCTACACCATATACGTCCTATTCTCCAACGCTGGTACGTCTGGAGAGCTGTCGTTCCGCAGCGAGCGCCTGAGGCGACTGAAGGTCTGGTCGCTCTTTGCCTCGTACTTTCCTGCTCGTCTGCACCGCTCGCAGGAGCTGGAGCCTACTAGGAAGTACATTTTCGGCTACCACCCGCACGGTATCATCTCCCACGGCGCCTTCGCTGCATTCGCTACTGAAGCTCTGGGTTTCTCCCAGCTGTTCCCTGGCATCACGAACGCACTGCTCACTCTCGACTCCAACTTCCGCTACCCTCTCTACCGCGAGTATGCCCTTCGTCTTGGCATGGCCTCGGTTTCGCGCGAGTCCTGCGAGAACATCTTGTCGAAGGGAGGACACAACGGCGAAGGCATGGGTCGCGCCATCACCATCGTCGTTGGCGGCGCACGCGAGTCGCTCGATGCACGACCCGGCGTCGTCCACCTCGTCCTCCGCCGCCGCAAGGGTTTCGTCAAGATGGCCATCCGCACCGGCGCCGACCTAGTCCCTGTCCTTGCATTCGGCGAAAACGACATTTACGACCAGGTTGACAGCGAGTCGCACCCTCTGCTTCACAAGTTCCAGATGCTCGTCAAGAAGGTTATGGGCTTCACTGTCCCCATCTTCCACGCTCGCGGTATCTTCAATTACGATGTGGGCATGATGCCGTACCGAAGGCCGATCAACATTGTCGTTGGAAAGCCGATTAGGGTTGTCCAGGACAAACATCCCAACCCTGAGTACATGGACGAGGTGCATGAGAAGTATATCGAGGAGCTGATGCGCCTGTGGCACGAGCACAAGAATACTTTTGCTAAACAGAGGACTGGCGAGCTGGAGATTGTCGAGTAGTGAACCATTGGAGAGTGGGCGCTTTCTGTACAAGTATCGTGAGACACGGCCATACCCTTTTCTTTATCGTTGTAAGACTGGTATGTCAGGATGGTGAATGACTGTACGCATTACTAGATACACCTAATGCGAGCAACGAAACTGGGTCACGAATACATCTCATTCGATACGCATCAACACCCGAATCATAACCAAATGACCATGTGAATCGCTGAATGCTATGAACTTCCTAACTTTAGACTCATCACAATACTCCCACATTAACCTCCTCACCTAGCACCAACCTTCTCCGCCAAGCCCCTCCACTTCCCCCTCCTCAAGGCTTCCGGCATCCCCATCAACACACCCCTCACCGCCTCCCGATCATACTCCATCCTCTCTAGCACAATCGCCTGCAGCACATAGCTCCCCACCGTGCTCTCCGACAGCGGCGGCTTGCGCAAGTGCCGCGCTATCTCGCTCAAAGAGAGTGACTGGTGGTGCCACATGTTGTAGGCGCGCAGGTGCGGGATCGTGGCCCGGATGTGTGAGGGTGTGTGCGAGTTGGGGGACGGGATAGTGGAGGAGAGGTATGTGAGGGCCCAGGATGTTGCTAGGTCGTATTCGGGGGTGTGGGAGGGTTGTTGGGGTTGTTCGGTAATAGGTTCGTCGGGGGGTTGTGGGGTTGTGGGTGAGGAGGCTGTGGGTTGAGCTGGATCGTTGAGCAGGTCAATGAGGCGCTGCTCTTCGGAGGAGGTTGAGCCGTCTGCGGTAGTGGCTGGTGGTGCTGCTTCACCTGGCTTGTTATCCTTGATCTCTCTTCCCTCTGATGCGGGCGTCTTTCCAGACCTAACACTGGTTTCAGCCTGGGGATCCGGGCGCTCCGAAGGTACAGTTGATTCGACCGTGGCAGCGTCGTTTGTGGCTTCTTGCAGCTTTCCATCGCTGTCGATCCTCAGGCCCTGTAACGCCTCTTCGAGTTCTGAGTCTTCGAACTCGTCAGTCTCCTCGTCTTCTTCTGATTGCTCTGTCGGGCCATCATTCTGGTCGAGCATTTCTTTCTTGAATCTTTCTGAAATATCGACGAGATCCTCGTCTGACGACAAGTCGGATTCTTCACCACCGCGAAGCTTTGGAAGCGTCGGATAACCGAGATCCAGTCCTCTGAGGCGGCTCAGATTGATACGACCAACACGTCTCTGAGTTGGCTCTGTTGCCGCTGCAATTTCTTCGTTCTTCAACGATGGTCCTGAGTTGCTCGAAACGTCATTGTTGCTCTCGTCTGTCGACTCATAGCTCTCTTCTGAGGATTCCGGCTCCTCACCTTCGAGCTGATGACTGTCCAAAAGATCTTCCTGGGCGGTTTCGTAACCTTCTGTATCTTGCGACTGCTTTGGATCCTCTTCCACATCTTCTTCCGGCCCCTTCTCTTGTTCCGCCGGCGCATTAGTCTCCTCTACAATGGCACCTGCAGCTCCACCGGTCTTCGTAACGGTCGTACGCTTCTTACGAGGCTTGCTGTCGCTCGACCTCGGTTTAGGTTTTGAGTCATAATCACATACCAAAGGTCGAGGTGGGGTGGGCTTCAGATGCTTCCTCTTTTCTTCGAGAACATCGTATAGACGGAATCCAGCGTATGCGTCCGCTGCAGCATAATGGATTTGCTGATGATTCAATGGCAAACTCCAGTCGCTGGAGCGGACGTTGGACAAGTCTTCTGGGTCGTCGACAAGGTGGCCACCTTTGTACAGCGGCAACTGCAGGTGTTGTTGTACCTGCGCAGCTAAGCCTACGAGCTTGTTGGTGACCTTGCTTGGGTCTGTCGCAGAATATTGAACTAGGTTATGCAGTCGACTTAGCTCAAAGATGCCTTGAGGTTTGACCCCAAGATATTTGACGAGGCGACTAAAGTCTCCTTTGACAGCGACGCCGACTTTGCACACCTCTGGCGACTCGAGAATGGTCTTCAAGGTTGATGGCATGAGTTGCGCTGCAGTTGATCCTGAAAATAGTGCGACATGGAAAAGCGCAATTCGGCCCTCGCAAGCAAGTTGAATCAGAGACACGTTCTTCTTAATTGAGAAAGGGTGCGAGTACGGCTTCCACTCGATGTCGAATCCGACAACCTTCTCATTGATAAAGTGTTGAGCAACTCTCTCGGCCACCTCTTTAGTCTTGCAGTAATGCACAAATATTTGCTTGTCCCCTGGTCCGCGATATAGGTTACTGCTCCAGAAGCTTGCTTTAGTATTTTCAGGGGCAGTCATTGCAGCACGCAGAACATCTTCAGGTATCTGGAACTCAAGGGGTGTGTAAGTTTCGCTGGTATCCTCTTCGGGCGTATCGGCCTCAGAGCCATTCTGTTCAGACTTGCTCGCGCTCTCATCAGCCGAATTCGGTGGGTAGTCTGTGTCCGTAGCGTTGTCCATTGTACCGCCTTCGAGCGACGCAGGCTTCGTGTCGAGATTAAACTCGGAAACCACGCGACTCTGATAACTGAGACCAGCGCCGTGACTATCTGTAGGCAAGGTTGTGGTTGCGTTCGCTGTAGAGACATTCTCTGACGATGCAATACTGTCGATTGCATGGTCCGTTTGTACGGGTGCCATCTGATCGTGCTGTACAGTGCGTGGCGAACGTTCTGCATACACAGCCTGCTGCTTAGCTGTCGCTGGACCGCCAGACCCTACAGAATGCTGGTGTGATTGGCAAAGAGGTATGTCCACGTCTTGATGTTCGTGCGCCTGTCTTGCAACGCCGGACGCGGCTGGCCTAGCTGCAGCAGCACCTGCTTGTGCATTCAGGTCTGCTCGCTTTGTACTGAAGGCACGGCTCGAAAACGTCACAGGTCGTCCGCGCTTCCATCGACAGTCAATCGTAGGTGATGAAGCTTGAGTAGGCGGGGAGGCGGGCTGGTGGGCATTGTTCACTGTTGACATTGGCGTACTGGAGCTTAGGAACCCAGACTGACGGAGGCTATGGTGTGGTCAGTACAACTTGGTTAAAATCTACCAGACTGCATAGTACCTCTGAGCTCCATACTGTGCATTTGCAGGCGTATTGTATGTTGCCATTTCATCGTAAGCGCGTCGACGAACATTCAACGCGCCTCGGAAAGACACGCGCTGTCTGAAGAGCATATCCCTCCATCGCTCCAACTAGGCACCGGGAATATTGTGATTATGGGTGAGTCGTGCAGCTTCTGCCTTGCACCAGGACGCCGGCGGCTCGAGGTTGACGGCGAATGAAGAGTGATTGGCTAGCGCGACTTCCCTGTTGGCTCGAGCGCCAAGCATCAAACGCATCCAACGACGACTCCACCACTGCTTGAACGTCGAACGTGCCGGTAGACCTGGAACTGCCATAGCAAACCGTCAATCACACTACAGTCGCCGTCATGTCGCTCGAAAATCTGCTCCCCCTTGGTACCAGCTGTCCAAATAGGCTGGATAGAACCCCACTAACCCTTCACAGAACTCATCGATAAGTGCGTAGGTTCGCAGATATGGGTCATCATGAACGGCGGAAAGGGTAACACAAAGCGCTTTTCCCAAGAGGAGTACTTTACTGAGACATCATAGAGTTTACCGGCAAGCTGGTTGGATTTGATGACTACGTCAGTAAGTGAAACGAACGCAATTTTTGAAGACTTAACTGATCAAATCTGCAGACATGGTTCTGGAAGATGTCACTGAGATGTGAGCAATTCTAGGAAACACACGTAGTTAAGCGTGCCTGATACTGACTGATCAAACAGTGATCCCACCGAAGGCAACAACAAATTACCGAAGATCCTGCTCAATGGAAACAACATCTGCATGGTATGGATGGTTCACACGTTCCGCACGAAAAAAATCGCGATGCTGACGCCAGTTGCAGATGGTTCCCGGAGGCGATGGCCAGACAGTCCTCGAAGACTAGTCTATCTAAGTTATCAAGATTTCGTCGACGCAAGACGTTTCGAGCTTAGCAACAGTGTCACAGGTAGCTTTGCATGGGTGGTGTTCTGCAGCCCAAAAGCAACACCACTAAGAGTATGCATCTTTTTTAGGCGGACAGGTCAGCATAGGGTGGTTGGCGAGCACGTCACCCATAGAAAGCGGTATATATTGCGGGATTAATGGTCATGGACACGCTGATCTGGGGCTTCATCCAAACATCTGAAGCAGCGACACAAAGCAAGACCTGAAGAAAGTCTCGTACAGAGTGATACACGTGACTCGGCATCATATATCGTCCCAATGAAATCAATTTATCACAAAGCAGATGACCTTCGGTAGATTCAGGTGATTGCGGTGAAGACTCATGAAGTCACGAAACGCGACAGTTTCTGACCGTGCAAACGTCAAGAAGAATGTTGGTTAACGACAGGTCCCAAGAGTCTTGGGGCACCGTAGTGAGATGCTAGACTCGGCGCAGTTTGTCACGATTACATCCTGACTCTGGGCAGCCATTCGGAGTATACATCCGTAGCACATGTGTTCATTGCAGATGTCGCAGATAAGACCTATCCAGAATTGAGCAGATCTCCATCTAGCTCACATCGAAGATCGACAACTTCGATGCTGATCTACGTCCCCCATGTCCGTCCACTGATCGAGGTGGCTCGCGTGTCTACCTCCCAAGCTGATACAGCCTATTCACGACTATCTACACGCTCCAACTCGATGCAGCTGCCGATTACAAGCATCAAGGTTGGCAACATGAGTCGTTTCGGGCTCTGTCTTCATTCTCGATGCTCAATCACGCTTGCCTTGGTGCCTGATGGTGCTTTGCATCCAAAGCCGGCCTCAACTTCGCATCCGCGTAATTGGGCCGTTCAACAACAGAGCGGAGATTTACCTCCACGCCCTTGTCGTGCATTGATGGATCGATATCAGATCATGGTGCGCATTCCTAATCCTAATAACACAGTATATGGTATTGCTGGGACAACCTTAATCAGTGACAGGCTGAGGGCCCCTTTCAAGACATGGTAGCAGCTACAACACCGATGGATTTCCGAGCCTGCCGCAGTGAAGTTGTCATCGAAGATCTGGTCAAACTAGGGTATCGCTAACGAGGGCACGTCCACAACAACGTCAACGGTGTCACGCGGTGCGGGAAAATAAGGCCACCGCGAACAGCTACTTTCCCTTACTAAAACTGCGAACACCAACACCTTGCCTCCTGTTGCACGACTATAATATAATAACAACAAAACATTAGGGTTTACTTTCTCTTGAAGAGGAAAGCCAGTGTAATCCTCTACAATCTAGCTTATTTACTTCTTTAATTCAAGCAGGGCTGTTGCAGCCTAAGGGTGCTGTTGTGAAGGACTTTTGGCGGTGGGCTATTTTCTCCTACCGCGTGGGTGTGTACCACTGACTGAAGTTATTCCAACCAATGGCAATGAGCAGTGATGGTCAAGGAATTTTCGTCGTGCAGGCCTAGGGCAGTGGCTGCGAGGGGTGTCGTTGTACGTAGACACGCAAAAAGTGCTCCGCGCTGCAGGTTTTCCGCGCGGAGGCCTGCATTTCGAGGTGCAGTAATACTAGAATAATCCGAACGTCACTGCAGGCGCCAGCCGCAAATCAGCAGCTAACCGGGGGCGCATCACGAAGCAATTGCGACTGTTCTGCCACGCACGCGTCTGCGGTCGCAGCAGTAGGCCCTTTGCAGCGGTGGTGTGGTGTTGGCTGCTCTGCATGTGCCGTTTTATGCCAAAGGCCGCTCGCGTCAACATCCACAATGTTGCCAGCGTTTGGCCCTATCGCGGGCTCGCGCTCTCCCAGAATGCTGCGGTCGCTGGGCCACTCACAGTGAAGGCTCATTCCCGCACTCGGTTCGTGCTCCTGCCTTGGCCCTTGAGGGCCGTGAAAGCCCCGGCGGCCGTCGCCGCCGATCAATTTGCACCTCTGACCTCACGCTTGTTGCCCAAAACTCTGCTCTCCTGTTCTCAACATGTCTGTCATCACCACCGTGTCCGCGCAGCATTGACACACCTCCTGATTCCTGCCGCCGCAGCTCCGCCATGTGCGCGCCCAGCCCTGCATCCTAGCCGTTGTCCGCCTTCCTGGATCTATCCGTGCTCCCTTTTGGCCTCCGCGCCGGCCTGTTCGCATGCTGTGCCTGGTGGATGACTGGTCCATAGTTGCACGCACACCCTCACCGCGACGCGCCAGATGCTCGTCGGCCATTACCTGACTCTTGTCGGCCGCTACTGTCCTGGTCGCCAGCCTTGGATCCAGCATTGTTTTTCCATGACGGCGGTCGTAATACCACCTCTCGTCGGTACCACAGTATAATTACAGATTTCTGGCTCCTGGGGGTCCACCTTCCCCAAATCCACCGTGTCTACCCACTTATGGGCAAGCACTAGTCGCCGCTCAGCACTTACTCTTCTTGCGCCTCGCGCCCTGCAACACTTACCCCTAACTAGTTTTTCGTCACGAAACGCCAGTAGCACCGCCGCTGCTGCGTGCTGCGCCAATCATATGCCCTGAACAGAAATTTACCATTTCCTATTCTGAATCTTTGCCTGTAAACTGTTCCCGCTGTACACACTTCCGCTCCCTTCCTTTTACACACCCTGTCGCCTTTGGCCACTCCGGGTCTAATATCTTGAGGCACGTTCCCGCCCCATCTACCGTCTTGGGTTGGCACGGTCGGCTTCAAGCAACGGTCAGGCTCAGTCGCGTTATCGATACCACGACTATCTTAACGCCGCCAACTCCACCACAGTTACCTCGACACCACTTAGACATTATCTGTTTGTGTCTTTCTACATGAGCGCCCTGAAAGAACGCCTGGCGCGATTGGGTCTTGCCCAGTATTCCGAGGTGTTCGCGACTGAAGGCTTCGACACCTGGGAAACCGTACTCGACATCACTGAGTCTGACCTGTAAGCGGACCTTTGGCGCACGTCGAAACTCATGCTCACTGTCCCATAGGAGCCACCTCAGCGTCAAACTTGGGCATCGAAGAGTATGTTGTACCCTCTCACGCGGTCGTGCATCTCTACACGAAGCACGCAGCCACTGACATCTTTGATAGAAACTCCAACGAGCCATCGCCGAATCGAGAGGGCAGTCCTCGGACCAGCCATTGAAAATCGCACTTGCAAGAGGAGCAAGTGCGGAGGGCTCTTATCGTAGTGACGATTCCGCAAATGAGACCAAGGGCAAGCAGAACCCAGCTACAGGAGATGGAACCACCAGCACAAATACGAAGCGGAAATATCGACGACACCCGAAGGTTAGTTTCTTTCTTCGCCATAAGTAACAGGTTGCCATGGCGCGCAGACTTTGGGACTGTCACTAACTTGACCAGTCCGATGAAAATGCTCCAGAACGTCCCCCATCGGCTTACGTAATTTTCTCCAATCGTAAGCGTTCATGAATGTTCACTGTCGTTCACAGCTAAAGGTTCATAGAAGTTAGAGAACTCCTGAAAGGGCAAGACCTATCCTTCACCGAAATCGCTAAGGTCGTAGGTGAACGATGGCAGGTGTTGCCAGCAGAGGAACGCGAGGCATGTGAGCGCCAGGCCAATGGTGCAAAAGAGAAGTACTATGCGGGGCTTGCCGAATACAAAAAGACTCTGCAATACGAGGCATACCAGAAGTATCTGGAAGAATTCAGAGCCAAGCACAATGCGCCCACTAAAGGTTGGTCTTTCCACGAACTACAGAATCTCAGTAACAGACTAGTGACTGTTCCAGAAGGCAAGCGATCAAAATTGGAGACAGAGACGAGTACGTCGACCCGAGCCAGCAGTCACAACCAACATGAACGAGCAGTAAATAGGCGACTGAGCACAGCAGTAACCGATCTTCCTGGTGGACAGCAAGTACGAGGATCCACTCCTCCGACTGGACCTGCACGTCTCCCAGCTGGACCATCGTACCCATCGAAACCGACATCACCATCTTCGCATCCGTTATCTGGCTTCAATTCGCCACGAGGTGGGGAGCTTTACTCACCAGTCTCTGCATCTCCTCACTCCAATGTTTTGCACAGAGATGCATCGTTTGAGGATCCTTCTAATCATTTGGCACGGGACATGAGAGGAAATTTAGACCCTTCCGCACCATATCATCCTACTGCATACACGCAGTCACATCTACCGCCTACGACTATGCGAATGCCTATAAATAGTTACGCTTCGCACTACCAAAATCCCGTCGATCTACCATCACGACGATCAAACCGAGAGCCCACGTCACATCTTCCAGGTCTCTCACATGAAGACACGGCGTTGTCTTCAGAGAGCGGGCACAGCAACTACAGCTTTCCCCAAGCTATGCAACCCACCCCGATGGACCCAGCAAAGTCGACGAGGATACTCCCACAGCCTGTACCCAATATCGGGCCAGCACAGTCACCGTTAGATCGAACATTCCCCCATCCACCTTCTGGACCACCTGCGCATATGCAACTTCCGCCGCCTGATTATCGAACCCAAGGATCTCTCGCTGCTCTTGTCAGAGCTGGGGAAATAGCAGCCCGGGTGGCAGATGACAAATCAATAGATAGGGACGACTCCCTTTGAGCATTGCTCAGTGAAACTCAACGCATTTAGCACAGCGCAATCATCGATCGGTGATGAGCACGACCACGAAGACTGCACGCCTGGCTCATACACGCGTCGGGATACCCGCACACGGACCGGACTCTCTACATCCTAGAGTCAAATCCGACTATTTCTGGATCGATCTGACCATACACGGCTTTACGAATCCCAATGATACCCCGCAGCATGTGGCCAATACAAACTTTCCCGCGCAACACTATTGATACCAGCGCTACAAGCGCACAAGTCGATGTTCATTATGCATATTTGTTATTCAAGGCAGGGCGGCTCATGGTAGCTGTAGCCTTCTTTTGAAAATTAGCCAGCGTTCTGGGCCACCAAGGCATGCAAATCGCGATCTGAACGCGTATTGAGGGGTCAGCGATGTCTTCAGCTCATTTCGGAGCATGCCTGATGCTATCTCAGGTTACATGGATCATAGCAATAGGCGAATGATACTGCAATGTACATATAGATCTCCACAGGACCCTGTATAAGTTGCGACGTCGCAATACCATGCAATTTCTCGTCTAAGGCCTATTTCTTCATATTCCCCATACTAAATTCGCCATGCCGGCCTGGACTCGTGAACCTTCCTCCATGGTGCGCACGTACAGAGTACGTCCCGATAAATCCGCCAATCACAACGAGAGGTCCACCGCTTGCTTGCTCCTTCAATTGGCCGCAATCTGCACTGTGTATACGCTCGCTGTTGTTTCCCGAGCCAAACACTGAATTGAAGACAGTCAAGGATGCCGGATGGCTGCAGTGACAACAATGCCTAAATGCACGGTCTTCATTGGCATCTCCGTTCATTGTTTAATGAGACAAGCTATTCTGTGTATCTTTCCCGGAAGCGGAGCGAAGCTCATAACAGTCACTCCACTTTGTGTGTCTTCAGCCGCAAGCACGAGGGGTACACATTTGCTTCGATTCGAGTATCTACTTCCAGCCAGCCGACATTCGATCGTCGATTCGAAGCCAAAGAATGCGAGGTGCACACAAGCTTCTCTGCATGGACCGTTCAGCAGGTGGGGAAGCAGAGTGTGGCCCTGTTGATCCTGCCTATAAAGGAACTGAACCCTAGTCGCCGCGGAGCAGCACATGGCAGTGCTGAGTGATTTCTGCATGCCGACCGCCATCCAGAAGTGAAGAGCTGCATGGCCTGTGGAGCGCTGTGCCGGTTGGCTCGTGCAAGACCGGCTTTGTTGTTTGCGGTCTGGCTTGATCGGCAAATTCGAGGAAGTACGGGTGGCGAAGAACTTTTCGATGTGCACGGTGTGCGACTTTATCTGATTATCCCTGCCGATACGTGCAACTTGATCGCTAGCTCTGCGAATCGACAATATCAGATTGCCCAATTGAAGCGTTTAGATGAGCTCCGCTGTTGTGCACGCCTTGCAAGCCACCACCTTCGACTAGGTACATGCTTGCCATTGTGTGCTTGAGTCTAGACATTGTGCTCGTCTACTCCGCGCAGCATCTACAGTACGCCAGAAGAACTTTGTCTTATTGTTCACGGTCAAACCTTGTGGGTAGTTCAGATTCTATGGCAAGGCTTGTTGAAACGTCTAGGCTTGATGGCTTTGACTGAGTGACTCACGCATGTGAGGTGGTACGTCGTCCAGCGTGCAGTCTGTTATGAACAACCTCAAACATGCAGTCTGCAATACCATACACGGGCTTTTTAGCTTCAACCCAATCTCTTGTAACTAAATCTTTGCATTACCATAGGAGCTACTGCTCCTCTCGTCTTCCATGGTCTTAGACTCACATAAGATGTTAACCCAATCAATCAATCAATCAATCAATCAATCAATCAATCAATCAATCAATCAATCAATCAATCAATCAATCAATCAATCAATCAATCAATCAATACCATACACGGAACAAGCCGTGATGCAAAGGGTCTTGCCTGCGGCACTTTAGCCTGAGCCAATGCTCTGGCATAATGGCCTAGCAATACCATAGTCTAGAACTCCAAGGCTGTTGAAACCTCACCGATGCCTGCTGTAACACCACTTCCCCACTTCAGTAATCCCAAGACTTCCGCTCCGCTGTCCATACCATGGCGGGACGATCTTACCTTAGCCTGCAACGCCTGCGCGTGGAGGACGTTCCACAGCACCCCGAATTCATCACACCCGCAACCCACGCACCAGCTCTGACGACATTCCTTGTTGCTATCTTCGGAGAAGCTCTCAAGGAGGACTTCGAGACTGGTTTCACTGTTGAAGGCAATTGGGCACCCACTGGCAGGAATGTCAAGATCACAGGTCATGATGGTGGCACTTCGACAGTGCCTGTCTCGGTCGAGCAGCGCAAGAAGGGCAAGGGTGACAACACATGGTTCGCCAGAAGATCAAAGCACTTGGAGACCGATGTACGACACACAGAGCTTGACAGCCTGCTGATGAACGATCATAGCTGGTGGGAGTACCAGTACACGCCAGATCTGTATGATGGCAATCTACTCCTGGAGTGGAATGTCAAAACATTGGAAGAGGCTGCGGGCAGCGTTAGACAAGAATTGGGTATCGCGGAGGTGGAGATGCGCAGTAAGCCCATCCATGATGATGCTTTTTCTATTGCTTGATGCCGGCATCTAATCTAGTCCAGTCGTCCAGATGTTCCATATTCTGCCAGGCCCGCTGCAAGATCGAGTATTCCATGCGCTCGCAATCTCTGGCAAGCAAGAAGGCCAGTCCATTAACATGCAAATCCCTATCGATTATGCATCATTCAAAGCCGTGGAGACGATACGTGCAAGGAGCCGTCTCGAACCACAGGGAAATGCATTTCGCTACAACACCGAAGCCAATCGCAACGAGGGTAGAGAGCCCAAGCCTACCGAGGTGCAAAAGCAGAGGAGCGGCAAGAAAGTCACTGAAGGGATCTATGCCGCTCTGGAGCGCATCCGTATCATTACGGGCACAGAGCCGCAGTTTACGCAGTGGGACATGATGACGCTAAGCAATGCTGGGGGAGTTGTCTCTTCAGTCCCAGTCGTGATGCAGAAGGGCCAGCTGCTGGAGGCTGTGAGCAAGGATGTACAGTTCGTGCTCCAGGAGGTTGGGAAGCAGAGAGAAGTTTGGAAAGTGACAGCATAGCGGAGCCTCTAGCGTTGCGGGAGGGCTAAGCGGGAACAGATGCCCCGGACTGCAGGTGCGCGTGCGCGTGGCAGCAAGACCAAACCACATCAGGGCGTGAACTGTCGAGCTTCAGCCCTCAGCCTCATCGCACGCATGGAACTGTCGCTCTTCCTGTATCTACACTCCGAATATAGCAGATGCCTGTTACCCCACACTTTTGCTGTGTTCTGTTCTGATCTTCGTCCCTTGCTGTGTTCGCTCTCCGCTTCTGGTCGGCCGGTGGGACTCTCTAACTCCACATCCTCGTAGACAGCATGCAGAACTACGGCCAATCTGTGTATGAGAGGCCTGGCAGCACAACGAGCTTTGCAGGACAGCCGCCGCCTCCAGTACCGCCATATCATCAGCAGCAATGGGGTCAGCAGCTGCCTCAGCACCAGCAGCAACAGGCGGCCCCTGGTTACAACCCTGGAACATATGGGGTAATGCCTGGTGGCTACGCCCAGGGCTCGCAGGTATGGCATACATACAACAGGTCGCATATCGTCACGTTGCGCTGATATTGTTGCAATAGTACCCGCCAACAACACAGTCGTCAGATCCCTACGCACCTCAGCCACATAACGATGTACCTCCTCCACCACCGCCCAAACCCCATAGCTTCGCGGCTGCGGTTCATAAACAGAACGAGCAGAGCGTTCAATATGCTCAGAGCCCGCAGAATACTCAGAGCTGGCAACAGCCGCAGCAGCCGCAACAGTCGAATACAAGCATTGCGCCGCAAGCACAGCATGTAGGCTACCCTGTGTACAACAACGCTGCACCTCCACTGCCTTCTGGCCCTGCTGGCTCATACTTCCCTCCGTCGCAAGGAGGTCGGCCTGGCTCGATATATGGCGCAGACCAGGTTGGCGCTGCACCCTCCCCAGTGAACCAGCGTCCTGCCAGTACGGTTATGAGTCCCAACGAGCAGGCTCCAGCATACATACCGCCATCACTTTCTGGACAGGGGGTACAGGCGTATATGCCATCGAATACAAACCCCATGCCTGGCGTATACGTACCTCCTCCACCAGACGTCCCAGCCTGGCAACAGGCCCAGCATGCACCTTTGCAAGGCGGTAACAAGAGGTTCACATATACCAGACCGACGGTGGATCCCAGCTCTTACGCACAGGGCCACCAAGGGGTGCAGCCAATGCAACAACAACCGCCGCCTCTGCCATCGCGGCATGATCAGGCTGGTTTGCCTTCGCTACAGCAACCTTACGGACAGCCGCCGCAGTACCCATCTCAGAGCCATGCGCCGCAACAGCAGCAGCCGCCGCCGCCGCAACCTCCACCAATTCATGGCCAGTTCACACAACAGCAGCAACAACCTCAAGCTCCAGCTCACTTTGGGCAGCTTGGGCAACCCGTCCAACCTCTCCAACAGCAGTACAGTCAGCCTTCGGTGCCACAGACCTACATTCAGCAACAAGCGGCGCAACTGGAGCAGTATGCGCAAAGGCACCAACATCAGCAAACACACCAGCAGATGCAGAGTCCTGTACAGTCACAACCCCAATGGCAGGCGCCAGGACCGGCACAAAGTGTCTATACGCAGCAGCATCAGGATACCAGTCAGCCGGCATACGGGTACCAACAGCAACAGCAACAGCAACAGCAACAGCAACAACAACCACCACAGCAACAGCAACAACAACAACCACCACAGCAACAATGGCAACCGTCAAATCAACCGCAACAGCCTCCTCTGGGACAACAGTGTCACCCTGCACCAGAGCAGGCCATGCAGGCACCGAAACCCATTGACCGCACCGATACTACACCACCGAATCTCGTAAATCAACCGAGTCCCCAGAGCCAATTCGTGTCTCCTGTTACCAGTCAACATGCCTCGAGCTTTGCACCGGGCCACCCAACATCTGCGCGCACTGATTCAGTAAGTTCGATCGCGCTGGCCAACTTGCATTCGCAGCGTGCAGCGGACCGGACAGCTTCGCCCAAACCTCCTTCTTTCAAAAATCCTACGCCACCCCCACCTCGAGATGATGCATCGAGGTTCAGTGCCTTAGGCACTGGCGGTCCCTCAGATTGGGAGACTTTTGGCGCAGGGGATGAGATTGATGATGAGGCCCTGTTCGCGAAGAAGCCTAGGCCAGTACAGTTGGATAGTGTTGAGCTGCCCGCTCATCAGCCCTCGCCTCCTTCTACGCAGGGCTGGCCAAGTCCTGCTAACCCACCTGCTCCTACAACTCGAAATGACGCACATGACACCTACCAGCCGACGCCTCCAACCACCACAGTCAGTCCTGTTCACAGAGCACCTTCCCCCAGAACCCCTCAGCAAAGCTTTTTCGCAAAAGACGCGCTCGTCGCGCCCGTGCGAGCCTCACTCAAGCCACTCCAAAAGCACGAAGTGTCTCAAGATGCCCGTCACGGTTTTGTGATGGGTGAGGTACTGTGGGACGTACCAAACTCACCAAAACAGATAGACAATACATCGCAACAAGCACAACTCGAGGGACCTGGCGCAGTCAGTGGTGGACCGCAGGGTTTCGAGATTCCCGCGCCTATACAAGTGCCCCCTCCTATCCAGATACCTGCAATCAACACGCTGGAGCCGTCTGTGGAAACACCACGGCAGAAGAGACCTGGCGCAACACGTTTCTTCTCTGATGTTGGTACAACATGGGGCCTGTCTCCCAAAGACAAGGATCAGAACCGCGCATCTGACCCATGGGGCTCTAAAGAAGACAGCGATCTTCCAGCCAAGCTGCAAGCGAAGGACGAGGAGTTATGGCGCCTTCGCAGAGAGTGCAAGACCGAGATGGAGAGGGTACAGGCCGATATCGAGGCCGGAAAAGCCGAATTCTTGGCTGAAATCGACCGCTTGAAGGCTGACAAGGAGGCAGCCAGAGCGCTTGCAGATAAGCAGAGTCTCCAACTGGACCAGCAGATCGAGGCCATGAAAGCTGCTGCAGAGCAGGCAAAGATCGATGCTGATGTTCTGAGAAAGGAGAATAACTTAACCATTGAGAGAATCAAAGAAGACATAGAGGGAAAAGAAGACACGATCAAAGAGCGCGATGCAACGATCGTAGATCTTCGACAACAGCTTGACGACCTTCGCAGGCAGCTGGAAGAAGAGAGGATGAAGGAACTGCCGGCACCTTCCGAACCCACAGCTCTGGATATGATCCCGGATTTGGATCCTTGGTACGCCAGCTCTCTCGAACGTTACATCGCCATGCTTCGTGGCGAAGCGAATGAACCACAAGTCGAGGACAAAATCAAGACCTTCAAGGCTTTCTTGAAAGCTGAATCTGCCATCAGAGGCATTGAATATCACGATACTGCACCAGCTGTTCCAGTGGTTGAGCATCCGGTTCCTAGTGAAACAGTTCAACCTGTTGGTGCCCAGAGCACATCTGGTGCAGCGGCAGAGAAGCGCAATCTCAATGTCACCCTACCACAAGAATCGCCTGATGATGACGATTATGAGTACAGTCCCGGTGGCCGACCTCTTCTGAAACGTCCTACGGTTCCGGTCGAAGACAGCAATTCAACGCACGCGCCGTTCGTACCTTCCTCGCAATCAACAGCCATCCTGACCCCAGCAAGCTCGGTTCACGATGATTCGACACCCCTTCAGTCTCCACCCGATGAACCGCCACAGCTGCAATACAAGGCCTACGTGCCACCCATCATGTCAACAGACGCTATGTCATCTCTCGCTCAACGAAAAGCGACGGGCCCTTCAGTCCTGCCAAACGTTACTTCCCCTATTGGCTCTGGAAAGAACCACGACGAAATATTCTTCGGGGCTCAAGAGACAAGCGGAACTCGAGCGGGTCACAGACCTACAAGCAGTGACGATACAGGTGGTGTGCCTGTTGTGGCTCCACTGAATTTTGCATCGAGCCGTCCTGTCTCCATGTCAGTACCACCAAAAGTCAATGCGCTCAACGCACTCAGCAGTCTCCTACCAGATCAAGTCAAACCTGCTGCATCGAGTCCTGTTCTCGAAAAATTACGAGCGGAAGCTGCGACTATAAAGTCTGACTCAAAGAATGTCGAGGAGCTTACGAAGTCATGGGAGAAGTCAGCGTCACTAACACGCAAGAAGAATGCTGATGCACGTCGAAAACGCGCAGATGAAAGTGAAGCCCACAACGACGATCTCTTCAACTCCAACGAGATCTCCTACGCTGAACTGAAGGATCTCGAGGCTGAGTTGAAAGACAAGGAGAGCAAACTGAAGGCTCAGGAAGATCAAGATGAGTGCAAGAGCTATGTCGAGACGGTCTTTGACAGAGTGTACAACGAGTTTCAGGCTGACATCACCGCACTTGACGACCTGTCCATCAAGGCCGAAACGTTGCTTCAGACCTCGGTCTCTGGAGTCAAGAGCCTTGGCGACGGTGACGCGCCGACTACGAAAGCCTGCCTTGAGCTTCTCGTAGACTTGCACGCGCAGATCGAGAAGACCCATGAACAGGTTGTGCAGGCCGTGGCTGAGCGAGACAAGCGATACAAGAAGACCGAGACCCAGCCGTTGTACACCGCCGGCAACATCGCCAAGATGAAGTTGGTCGAGAGGCACTTTGAGCAAGCCGAGAAACAAGCTATCCACCGGGCGAAGAACGAAAAGGCAGAGCGCATGAGCCAGCTCGTCAAGGTCGCCGAAGAGGCCGCCGTTAGCGCCGTAAGCACCGAACAAAGTGATCGCAGTCGCATCATTGCTGCGATCCGTGACCTCAAAGATGGCGACGAGGCTTCGGACATCTTGAGCCGAGCAAACGGGACGCTCAACCTTCTCCACGAATCATCGAAGTTGCTTCTGGCCATATTCAACCGTCTGGAGATCGGGCTCAATACTGCGGAAGTCGATGCTGATGTTGCACAAGCACGTGTGGAGGGCGCACCTGAGTCTAAAGTGCAAGACCTGCAATCTGGGACGAACGCAAGGGAGACGGAGCTGAAGGAGGAGTTCACGAGGCGGATTGGTGTGCTTGATCAAGATCGGGAGGAGTTCGTGCAGCTGATCAGAGAGAAGGGAGGTAGTGTAGAAACCAGCGACGAGCAAGAGAGGGAGAAGAGGCTTAAGATGGCGCTTGACCAGGCCAAGAGAAGGAACGGCCATGCATAAGTACAATTGTATACACGTGTCACGGTATCGAGGTCTTGAGCAAGTGTTCTTAGAAGGTTTGGAGGCTTTTCGCTATTCCGGGACGGCTATGCATGTTTGTAGTTCACACACATTTCAGCACGACATATCTAATTCATGCATTATCCAGCGATGTCTAACTACTAGGTACATGTATCAATGGTGACTGCCGTTAAGTGACTGCGGACTTGACACTAACCCTTCAAGGAGACCCTACAGTCGTGAGAAAAACCAATCTCTCACGACAACTCAACATTGTGCACGGCCATATCACCGCTAATAATGCACAACCTTGTGACAACACACACTCATATAAACCCCTAACTTCCTCTCCCAAGAGCATCATCAAGACAACGCACCACCAACCAACAACAACAGCAACGACAACCAAATACGCCCCCAAGAAGTTCGACTCAAGTACATGCGCTATGACGGCAAGGTAGACGACGCCTGTAGCTTCTGCAAGATGGGTAGGGATTCTCGTGGAGACTCTACGTACGGAGAGATGGGCGAGGATGCTGCGAAGTTCCGGTAGATTGAGGAGTGGATGATAGTGTTAGGCCCGCACCCAGGTACCCTTAGTGCATCCGTTCTCTTCTAGACTCTGCAGCTTTCCTTCTCTCCTAGGTCCTAGCACCCACAGCTCCTTCCGTGTAGACAGACTGATTCACCATCAAGCCTAAGATGTGCAAGATCCCAACTTATTTCTACGCAAAATTCACTGAGATCAATGGCTTTGATGCATACGCTTCAAAGCAGTCTTGTTGCTCACCCCTTCCTGACTTTCAACGGGTGAAGATCATTAGGATCGTCATGTATTGTAGCTACTTGAGTGGGTTTGTATCTCTTTCCCTCTATTCGAGTGATACTAAAGGGTTGCCTAGGAGGTATATGTATGGTGGCAGATTAGTATTCTTGCGGGTCCGCTGGATACGCAATTGTGACTTGACTATTAGTGGCCATCAGAGCCGTCGACACCAGTCCACTCAAAGTAAGAGCGGTATCGTGAACTCGATCTTCAAGACAGATATTGACCACGAGTATGTCACCACCCATACTCACAGTCTCTCAGAAACTTAAGCATACATGAAGGACACTGCGTAGCCATTCTCCTTCTTCGTACCAAGACAAAACACACAACCTCAACAATAGCACCAACCAACAAAACCTTACAACACAACCATGTGCCCACGCACCAACATATACAAGCACTATCTCTACTGCGGCATCACCGGGCACAAGCTGCCCGTCGGTGCTTGCGACAAGTACGCACACGGGCTGCAGATGTGCCTCGATGATCCCAATACACCAAAGAAGGTCAACTTCAAGACTATAGAGAACGGAAGGGTAGCTTGGGATCATGGTTGATTTTGCAAGGAAAGTAAGGATATTAATGGAGACTATTTATATAGACAGTATTGGGAGGATGCGGCGCAGTATCGTGAGGGGGGTGGGTAAGAAGAGATCAATGTCCGGCGAGGGGAGTGTGTGGGCTGTAAGTAATTGAGGAAGGTTGTTGTATTTCATTGGACTTTCTACATGTACGGCCTTTGGCCTATTAATTAACATAATCCCTTACATGATCGAAACACGACTGTTATGGTGTGCCTCGAGCCTAAGCCCGAAATCACTGGTCGCAGTCTGGTGTACTACTTGCGGCCGTTGAAAGAATTGTACGTTACATATTGAAAAAACATGCGTATAGTTTATCTCCGAAGAATGGTCAATTGTGAGGGAGGGGATGCAAGAGGGTCCAAACCTAGCTGGCTGTGGTTCTGATGACGGTACGCTTATCCAAGATCCAACATAATTCGGTCGAAGCTTTGCACTTTGCAAACCAGACGTGGAAAGTACGTTATATGCTGCGGGTGGTGCTACATGAGGCAAGGTACGTCGCGCAGCCGTTTTTAGGCGTACCGCAGTGCCATCCAGTCGGGCCTAGATCAAGGCGCGTGGCGTAGCTACACGAGCTCTAGAAGCGTGTGCGGTGGGCGGCCTTCGAGGGCGCGGAGCCAGGAGCAGCAGTCTCTTCAGTCGGCTTGATACTATGGTGGAGAAGCCAGGTCAGCAAAGTCAAAGCAAGGAAGAGAATCGAGGTGTATTACATTTCGCTAGCGACGAGCAAACGCGAAGGTTATGAACAAACGAAGTGATAAGATGTCTAGGGGAGTGTTGACTCGACTGAAGACGCGACTCCTCAGGCTCTATGGTGTCGGATCCCAGCAATCACTTGCGTTGACGCTTGTTTGCTGCGTTGTGAGGCTGCTTCTTTCGTTTCGAGGGGTGGGACTGGGAGGGATCGCTTGAAGCAGATGATACATACCCGTTGACCTCCTTGTCTAGCTTCATGTATTCCTCCGCCGCATCCTTGCCTCCGCGGTTGAGCAGGAATTCCATGTAGAAGTGTGACAGCTTCTTCGATGCTTCTGGCGAGAGACGGCCTTTGGTGCGCACCAACTCGTGTACCGCCTTTACCCGCTTGTGGGCCTCTTCTTGATCAGAGGAAGGTTGGTCGATCTCGAATTGCAGGTACTTATACCAGTAGTCCTTCGAATCTGAGCACTTTTGGTGCTTGTCCTTGAAAGCCTGGCGAGCCTCCTCGACCGCACCCTTGCACTGGCACAGGATGCGTGCTTGTTCTGCAACCAATATCCCGCCGATCTGGCTGCTGCGTTGGCCAATGTATTCCTCAAGGACCTTGACAGCCTCATCATTGCCTTCGTGCCTTCGCACAATGCCAGCCAGAGAGACGATGGTTTCGACGTGATCTGGGGCTTGTTCAAGCATAGCTGTGTGTATCTCGCGGGCGACCGAGATGCGGCCAAGCTTCTCTTCAAGACGTGCCCAATTCAGACGAATAGTGGGAGCCTCGATAGGAACGAAGACACAGCTGGCTCGCATATAGATGATGCGCGTGTTCTCCTCTTTGCCTTGGGAGAACATCCACCGTGCGTACCGTAGCCAGAACTCGTCGTAGAGCGCACAAGCAACCAAGCAACGCTCGTAGAGGAATGAGATGCGTTCGAAGTCGCCCTGCTTTTCCTCGTAATCGAGGTACTTGCGCCAGTTTCCAAGCTCAGCATCCTCGAGCTCCGTGACGTGGAAGTATGCGCGCTTGATAGCCTGCTCATAGTTCCAGCGGTTCTGAACATCTTGCTGTGTGCGCGAGTACGATTCGTAATAGTACGCATGGATCTTCTCGCGGAGCTGTCGCTCAAGCTCAAGAGGGGCTTTCTCGGGGTATCCTTGGTTTTCCAGCTGCATTGCGTTCTTGATGGTCTCAAGTGTTTCGGGCTCGGCAAGGTCTTCGATGGGTCGTGTACCAATGAGGGCGGTGAACTTCTCGTAGTAGCGGGAGAACTGGTAAATAGGAAGCAGCAGGACGTGACTGTAGATCTTGGTAGCGTTTGCAGGCTCCCCTACGCGCTCCTCGAACTCGATGTACTTGTCCCAGAAGGGGTGGCTTTGGAAGTCAAGACCGACAAAATGAGCTCCTCGCTCAAAAAGTCTAAATTGTCAGCATCGTTGGATCAGGCGGGGGAAGGGAGTAGGGAGGGGGAGGGAATGAGCTTGCAGAGAGGATACGGAGTTCCCAAAGAAACTGCACCGTTGACTTCCAAACGTCTCCAAGATGCGCAATGAACTTGACGCAATACAATCAGTGTGGTGAGGGGCGAGGTGGCGCAAGAAGTGGCATGGAGTAGCACTAGATCAGACCTGAACGCGCATCGCCAACCCACAAGGTGCTTGCTGCTGGCTATGGGCTGATTTGAGTCTCAGAATCGAGGAAGAAAGGCAGCACTTACTCTCGAATGATGTCGTTGTCATGACACGTGTCCATCTTGAAGGTGCAGTAGTTGGCCCACAGGTCAACAGAGGTGGTGACGGCGCATACACCACGCTCGTACACCATTTCGGCGGTCTCGGTGCCTCCTATCGCGAACTCGAGGTCGGCGTACTTCTTCCAGTATCCGAAGAAGAGTGGGAACTTTTGGAGGAAACAGTCGTATACGTTGCGCACAAGTTCAATTGCCGATGGACTCGAGTTACGAGTGACGCCGCCCTCGAGCTCAGAGGCGCGAGTGACGATTGCCTCCCATCTGTCGAATTCGTCTTCGTTCTCGACCTTTGCATTGTCAGTTTGTACTATGATATTGTATTGTATTAAGCTTACTACTGCGCTGAGGAGCTTCCTGATCTCAGGTGCAGCCTCCTCGCCCGTGTACTCCACATGCGCAATGGCGCCGCGCCCAGTAGGCAACATCTTGTCGCGTTTGATGCTGATTCCGAGGTTTGATGTCAATGTCCTAGTTTACGAGAGGTGCGCGCGACAGGTGGAATTGCTTGGGCAAGTGGGAGGAAGTGGTGGAAGTAGAGCAGGCGAGACCGTGATGAACCAAGGATTGATACCTTGAGAGCGGAGCTCGAGGCCCACTTTTGGAAGGAGCCGCACCCTAGCGTGCACGTGACGTCGGTGCTTCATTCTTCGTTCTTGCGCTGCGGACACGAACTGAGTGGTCTTCACTGCTACAATGTCACACAGTCTTTCAATTCTTCGTAGCAATATATAAATCAAGAGGCTAGTTTCAATGCATGTAGGTCCCTCTAGACGAATAGCTGCAGCACTATCTTCATCTAAGATGTACGGCGAACGATGATCAATGTGATAGTTATTATTTTATCTAGGGATCAAAGCTGTGCTGTCGGTCATCCTCTATCATCCGACAGAGACGCCATTATACGGCGAAACCACCACTGTTCTTCTGTCTCGGTTCACCGGCGGCCTCGAACGTGCCATTGCTCAATCTCCGCAGTCCATGCGCTGTGCTTCCCGCTGCGGCCCATGTCACATTGGCACCCAACTGCTTGAGGAAAGCTGTAGTTCCATTGTTGAATGTGGGTTCGAAGCTGATTTGGGCAGGCACAAGTTGATCGTGGATCCTCGGCTGGGCCAGCGCTTCCGCGGTCGTCAGATTGCCATCAAGGATATGGATCAGGTTCTGGATCGTAGAAGTAATAATACGACTTCCGCCAGCTGCACCGATAGCAACGTAGAAAGCGTTTGCAAGGGTAGAGTTGAGGTGTTCAACGATTACGGGCGAGATGGAGGACAAGGGTCGTTTGCCAGGGCGGATGTAGTTTGCTGGGCTAGGGATGTAACCGAACGCGTTTGTTGTGTTGGGAATGGAAAAGTCATTCATCTCGTTGTTCATAATGACTCCAGTTTCTGGTACGACAACCTTGCTGCCGAAAAGTAGATTGACGGTTGTCGTAAGCGTGATGGCAAGACCGTCCTTGTCCGCAGCTACAATGTGCGACGTGCCAGGCGTTTCGAGCGACTCCAGGCCTTTCGGGTCATAGTAGGATACGTTGAAGGTCTGGGTATCACTGATCTTGGATTGGACTTCTGCTGCAGTGGAGGCCGAAATCATCGCTTCCTGGTATTCGTCGATACCTTCGAGGTATAGCGGGTCGCCGAGCTCAGCCCGCATACCGTAAGCGAACTTCATGGCTTCGTCGAGGCGGTGCGTGGTCAGGTTGATAGCAGCTGGCTCGCCGAAGCCGGAGTAGCCTTCTACAATCTTCAGAACGGAGAGGGCAACTTCACCGCCGCTGGGAGCGCTGCAGGCTGTGAGCTTGTAGTTGTGGTATGTGATGGTCGAAGGCTTGCGGATAGCGACTGTGTAGTTCTTGAGGTCTTCGAGAGTCATGGTGCCGTTTTTGGCCTGAAGAGCGTTGATTGTAGCCTCTGCAAGAGGACCTTCGTAAAAGGCATCGGGACCTTCGTTGGCAATGGTCTCCAGAGTGTCTGCGTAGCGCTTCCTTGTGATGGTCTCGTTCAGCTGGACAATGCGACCCTTGGGAGCAAAGTCGATAGCCCATTCCGGATCGTTGAGTAGGAAGTTGTTCGTTGCGTTCAAGCTTGCAGTTGCAGACTTGATGTAGCTGATCAGGTCCTCGTTGACTCGCCATCCTTCGCGCGCAACCTTGACTGCTGGCTTAAGAACCGTTGCCCAAGGGAGCTTGCCGTATCTCTCGTGAAGGTACTGCAGACCACGAACCTCGCCAGGTACACCGGAAGCCAAACCACCATTGATGCTGGCATCCTCGTTGTCCTTGTACATATCCTCGAAAGCAGCAGCTGGTGCTGTCTCACGGAAGTCGATGAATTCGTATGTGCCGTTGGGTGCTCGCACAAGCATGAAGCCTCCACCTCCAAGACCTGCAGGGTGTGAGTATTCCGAAGACGTGCATATGATAACAGGACCTGTTAGTTGCAAGACATACCAGAGTGGTACATGCCAATAACTCCCACGCAAGCTACGGTGCCGACCAGTGCATCAGCAGCGTTGCCGCCTTGCTTCAGCAAATCTACACCAATGTGGCTGCAGACGTCGCTCTCCGAAGCCACAGCGCCCAGTTCGCCATGTTTGATCGCAGGTGGTGTAGGGTAACCTGAAGGAACTGGGTTCGCGAAGACCGACTGCAGCGTCAGCAGCCCAGTCAAGCACCGCGACAACATTGCACCACGCGCCATATTGATACTCTCGCGACAGAAGGAAGAAACAAGCTCAACCAGCACGGGAGCCATGGGCTGGGCTTGACTTTCACTTTAAGCCCGCGGCAACGGCCCAGCCCTAATACTTGCCGTACAACAATGACGATTACTGCCTTGACCGTTTTGGTAAGAAGCTTACACTGTTGAGGAAGCTGCAAAGATGTCCGAATGCGGAGCAGTGGATCTGAGCACCTCATACGCAATAGTAATAGGGATCGACATGACGGCCGCGTAGACCTTGCACCGTAGTCATGGGGCGCGTGTAGGTGAAGCTATCGTGCTTGAGATATGGGTTGTTTTCGAAATACCGGCTACACCCTGTGACCCGAGATCCTGAGCATACATAGGCGTACTTTAGATACTATACTGCCTGCGTACATGTGCCAAGAGGCTATATCCTAGCTTCCTTATCACAGAGTGAATTGCTACACCCCGTCCCGCCAGCCTGCAGGCTGTTCTCAAGAACCGCGCCCTGCTGCGCTAGGTTGTACGCGTCAAACTGCATAGAGTGGCTAAGCTGCATGTTGTATAGTCACTTTTTTTTGGCGTTTGAATGGTTTCCTGCCCAGGTCACGGAGTGTAGCCGGTATTTCGAAAACACCGATAACGGATATGAAGCTCCGTCGATAAGAGATAGGCGAGGCTGGAGACGATAGTGAATAGCTGGATTGACAGCTCAGTTGTGTTACCTTGGAGGTCCTCGCGAAATGCATCTCGAGATTACATTGAGCTGGTCAATTGCTGATGTTGAGACTGCTCAAGCAAGCCACTATGAGGCCGGAGCATGCAGCTGCAGGTGCAAAGCTGGCAAGCGCCGCTTCCGTCATTTCGACTGAGGATGATGAGCTCGAGAGAAGGCGCGAGATGATTGTTGGCAGATCGCATACCGCATGTGTCCTTGCATATGCATGGACAAGTGCATTGGCATGCACGGCCGAAATGATGGTTTTTGAATTGTGATGAGTCGAGAGTGAAGTTGCGTGAAACGTGACACCGTGAATTTCAAGCGCGTCACGACTCGCCAACGCGTTCCCCAACCACACTCCCACTACACCAATTCACCACATCTCTCCAATGGCTCCCAAAAGCAGCCAGCCACCCTCGAGCGCCTCACAAAAGACCAAACAGCAATCGATATCGAGCTTCTTCACACCTAAACCCTCCCAAGCACCGAAAGTTACGCACAAACCACCTCCGCAGCCGAAGTCCCCGGTCAGCAATGGTGCGACTCACAACGATCGCGCTGAGGAGGCTTTGCCTCTAGGGAACTCAATACTGGGTCGAAAGCGCACAGTTCCTGTACCTAGTGATGATGGCGAGTCTCCGAAGCGACTGCGAGTTGCGGACAGTGAAGATGCGCGGCCATCGCTCAGTCAGGTGACTGCAGCAAGTCTGAACACGCCCAAGCCCACGAAGCTCACAGACAGGACATCGAAGTTCCTGTTCTCCTCATCTCCTCCGCGACGCGACGAGAACGAAGCCGCTGCCGAAGAAGATGCCGCAGGAACACAACGGGAGAAGGAGAGGCTCCACGAGAAGTTCGTCAAGAAGCTCGGGCGCCCAGACAGTTTTGCGGAGCTTCGCAGGAGGAATAAGACCTTGACTGAAGAGGAGGCCAACGGCGAGGGTGAAGGTGAGGAGGATGAAGAGGAGCAAGAGGCATCTAAACCTGCAAAAGGGAAGAAAGGTGCGGCGACGAAGAAGAAGTCGGCCTCGAAGTTGACGCCAATGGACAAGCAATACCTAGAGATCAAGCGAAAACACCTCGACACTATCATCGTAATGGAAGTCGGATACAAATTCAAGTTCTTCGGTGAGGATGCAAGGACAGCATCGAAGGAGCTAGGAATTGTGTGCATTCCAGGCAAGTTCAGGTACGACGAGCATCCATCCGAAGCACATTTGGATAGATTCGCATCTGCAAGCTTTCCGGTACATCGGTTGCAAGTTCACGTCAAACGACTCGTCAAAGCGAACCACAAAGTCGGAGTGGTACGGCAGATCGAGACCGCGGCGCTCAAGGCAGCTGGGGACAACAGAAACACGCCATTTGTACGGAAGCTTACGAACCTCTACACAAAGGGTACATACGTTGATGATGTCGAAGGCTTGGAGACGGGATCGGAAAGTCCAGGTCCTGGTGCACAAGCGACTGGCTACCTACTGTGCATCACCGAGACCAACGCGAACGGCTGGGGCACCGATGAAAAGGTGCAAGTCGGTCTTGTCGCCGTTCAACCTGCGACTGGAGACATTATCTACGACGACTTTGAAGACGGCTTCATGCGAAGTGAGATTGAAACACGCTTACTTCACATTGCGCCGGCTGAATTCCTGGTCGTGGGTGATCTGTCGAAGGCGACAGACAAGTTGATACAGCACCTTTCAGCGAGCAAGACTAACGTGTTCGGGGATCGTTCGCGTGTTGAAAGAGTAGAAAAGCCGAAGACCATGGCTGTGCAGGCTTACGGTCACATCTCCAACTTCTACGCTGACAAGATGAAGTCCAGTCAAGAAGGCGGCTCGTTAAGTCAGGGTGCAATTCTCGACAAAGTGCATCAACTGTCAGAGCATGTCACGATATGCTTGTCAGCGATGATCACATATCTGAGCGAATATGGATTAGAACATGTCTTCGACCTGACGAAGTACTTCCAGCCGTTCAGCGCGAGATCGTATATGCTTCTAAATGGCAACACACTTTCGAGCCTCGAAATTTATCAAAACCAGACCGACTACACCGCTAAAGGCAGCTTGTTCTCGACAATGGACAGGACGAAAACTCGCTTCGGACACCGTCTCCTGAGAAAGTGGGTCGGTCGGCCGCTGATTGACAAGGAACGTCTGGAAGAACGCATTGCGGCAGTGGAAGAGCTCAAAAATGGCGAGAACACCATACCTTTTGACAAGTTGAAGTTTTTGCTCAGTAAGATCAGGACTGATCTTGAGAAGGTGCTAATTAGGATCTACTACAAGAAATGCACGCGACCAGAGCTCTTGGCCGCACTGCAGACACTTCAGGATATCTCTGGTCAGTACCTGCAGATAAAGTCACCCGAGCAAAGTGGCTTCTCGTCGACTCTGCTCAGAGACGCGGTGTCAAACATTCCCAAGATCTACGACGACCTCAACATGATCCTTGAGAAGATCAATGCCAGTGCCGCTAAAGCCGACGACAAGTATGGCTTCTTTCAGGAAGAGCATGAAGCGGAAGATATCAACGACTTGAAGCTCAGCATCGCCTCAGTCGAAGACGATCTCAACACTCACCGCCAGGAAGCTGCCGCAAAGCTTGGAGTAACGAAAGTCGACTATGTTACTGTTGCCGGCATCGAATACCTTATTGAAGTCAAACGCAAGTCTCCGCAAGAAAAGAAAGTTCCTGCTTCATGGCAACAGATCTCTGCGACCAAGGCTACCCTGCGTTTCCATACACCCGAAGTCAAGCGCATGTGTCAAGAACGTGATCAGTACAAGGAGTCCCTAGCCGCAGCCTGTGACGCTGCGTTCATGCGCCTGCTGGACGAAATCTCAGCAAAGTACCAAGAGTTTCGAGACTGCGTTCACTCCATCGCAACACTCGATGCGCTCTTTTCCTTGGCCACTCTAGCTAACCAACCCGGTTACGTGAAGCCTACATTCACAGATGGGATCGAGCTTAACATTACTGGTGGCCGGCATCCTATGGTAGAACAAATGCTACTAGATAGCTATGTGCCGAACGACCTCCAGCTCTCGCACTTAGCTACGCGCGCTCTGTTGATTACGGGACCTAATATGGGCGGCAAGTCCTCATACGTGCGTTCTGCTGCTCTCATCGCCATCATGGGTCAGATCGGGTCGTACGTGCCTGCTACAGAAGCACGTCTTGGCATGCTCGATGCGGTGTTCACGCGTATGGGCGCGTTTGACAACATGCTGAAGGGCGAATCAACCTTCATGGTGGAACTCAACGAGACATCTGACATCTTAAAGTCTGCAACGCCGCGTTCACTTATCATCCTGGACGAGCTCGGCCGTGGAACCAGTACGTTCGACGGGGTTGCTATTGCTGAAGCAGTGCTCGACTATGTGATTCGCGACCTGCAGAGCTTGACGCTGTTCATCACACATTACCAGCACCTGTCCAAGCTCCACTCACGATTTACAAACAACGAACTGAAGAACGTGCACATGTCTTTTGAGGAGCGCGATGGTGGCAGGGAGGTCGTCTTCCTGTACGAGGTCGCCGAAGGCACCAGTCACCGATCCTATGGACTCAACGTCGCACGGCTGGCAAAGGTACCAGAGAAAGTCATCGATGTTGCTGGTGTGAAGAGCGCTGAGCTGGAAGACAACATGGTGGCCTGCAAGATGGGGAACTTGTAAGTCTGGTTAACATCGCTCGGTTATGTGTATACTGATTTAGGACAGGTCTCGTCTGATCAACGGCTTGATGAACGACGATTCCGAACAGGGTCTTGACAGACTTGCCGAAGGCATCGAGCAGTTATAAATATAGCTTGAAGCATACCAGGCTTGATGCAAGTATGTACCAGGCACATCAGGATTTAGACGTGATGAAATAATACCTCCCTTTTCCTGTTCCCGGACTTAGATCATACGACCGATCATCCGTTTTGTTGAGATTTTTGATCGAGTTGTTGGTGTTGCTCCGATATTTGAGCCAGCAACCGCAAGACCTCATTGCGCGAACACCACAGCCGAGCACGCTTTCCGCTTGCGATAACGATCCAACATTGGTCAGCTAGCAGCGACAGAGTATTAATGTACTAATTCTGGTGGTTTTTGTAGGTAATGCTGGGCACGAGAATGTCCAATTCAACAGTTAGGTCAGTTGCTATTATCGGTGCTGGGGCAGCTGGTACGTGCAACTAGAATACATAGCCTGGGGGGCACTATCATCTCACAACACACAGGTGCTGCTGCAGCTGCAGCTTTCGATGCAGAGGATGCTTTTGATATCATCAAGCGCTTGAGCTTCGGGAAAACACCAAGAGGAACATGGTACTGGATACGCAAGTTATCAGCCTGTGCCCAGTGTTGACTATAATGCAGGACATACGATCCAGACCCGGCACCACCGAGCCAAATCCACCTTGGAAAGAATCCGCCAGACATTGATCCTCCGCTGGAGGTACCACAAAGTCTCCCAGCTGCGGTGGCGCCAGCACAACAGACAAGATTTAACAGAACGCCAATATATGAATGTCTCACGTGATTGATTGGTTTAACGTCCTATGTGAGTCTGGGACTGTAGAAGATGAGAGGAACAGTAGCTCCTGGCCAGAGTAGCCTTGATGCCTTCTTTGGTGTGAAGAAGCAGAGGCAGTGTGAGCTGCACTTTCCCTAGACTGTCCTGGAGGGCTTTCCGGTCTTGCCTGAGCCACTTGCAGCTCAAGAGGTGTTCTGGGGTCTGTTTGGCTCCACAGCTGCAGAATGGGTGGTCTGCCTTGCCAATCTGGAACAGTTATGCCTTATTGGATCCTTGATTCAGGAAAACACCCGCAGCACCTACCTCCAACATCGCTCGTAGCCAAGCTGAGATAGTCGAAGCTTGAGCCGTATGACGTTCAGAGGTGCAACAAAAAGACAAAAATATACAACAGCGGGTATTCGCTAGTGGTCACCCACCTAACTACTAATCCGCCGGTACGTTGCTTAAATAGGGCTGAGCAAACGGGAAGCCTTGCTGCTTCCTGGTCGCTCACCACAAGAGTCCTTAATTCTACCGTATCGGTGTCGCTGTTGCTGAAAACAGACCACAGAGGACACAAATTTGCCACTCATTGCACGCGCCGGTGGTTAATTGCGGGCCATATTCGAAGTGCTGCGAGAGCCCCCAGGCCACGTGCGAGTATTCGCCGAGAGCCCAAACCTCGTTCCTCCGGTCTCTAAAGCCAAAAGACAAAACCTCGGAGCACCCCCTTCGCCATTGTTACACGACCGCACACAACCATCTTTATTCTAACTATCGCCAAGTCTATTGAGAAGAATGCCTTCTGATTATTCGAGTCTTCATAATCATCCAAAATGGGGATTCATCATCTACCGCTGCGATTACCGTGACGACTCCGTCTGGGCACAATTCATAGACCGGTGGTCCCAGTGGGTGGCCGGATAGCTCATCCGCCAGGGCGAAAGGCAGCTCATCGAGAATCTCGAATGGACTGTTAGAGAGGACCGTGATTCTCTCGATGGAGCCACCGTAGAAGACGTGCGCAACGTCTTCACAGCCTGGACAAAGACAGAAGAAGCGGTCGCCGAGCAACAGGCTGCCGTAGACCGCCACGTTTTGGGGTCTCTAAGATATCAATTCTGTGTACATGTAGATGCGAAGGCGCTTGACGAGTGTCTGAGGTTCGATGAGCTTCCTGAAGGCACGCAGCTGCAATTTTGGAGCCGCAGACGATATCTAGCTCTTGGGCATGCTCCGTACGTCAATATTGTTGAGAAGGTTGAGGAAGTAATCGGAGCCCTGCAATATGACGAAAAAGACGAAAACGAAGAAGAAGAAGAAGAAGAAGAAGAAGAAGAAGAAGAAGAAGATAGCGACGAAGAGGTGGCGGCCATCTCAGTCAAAGTGCATTGGCAGGCTGCTATACCCGACGTCTTCTTCGCGCTAAATCAGACGTCTGATGCGTTCCAGCCAATGGTTCACGATCTTGATCAAGACGGGGTCCACTCGTAATTGCTCGAGGTTTTGATATCCATTCCTGAGAGACAAATCAAGCTTGATCATCGAAAGAATGGCATCATTGCGGACTTTGATAGCTTCGACGGCTCTAGCCAACCCGAATGAACATGTGTCAGAAAGAAGTGCCATTGAAAGGTTTTACTATACTCTATGGCGGCATTGGCCGTGGATGTCGTATCACTTTCTTTAGGATAGTCCTGTAACAGGGATGGCTCATGCGATTCCCCGGCGGCAAGGTGCTTCGCAGCCCAGAGATATTTGTAGTACTGGTAATTGCAAACAAGCAGCGCTCCGAAAATACTACAACCAATGATGAGACCTCTCTCTCTCTCTCACTGTTGGAGTTCAGTGAACTGTACACAAAGGGAAGGAGTTGAGGATTGCACTGCAGTTGTATTGTATGAAGCTACGAACAGTATATGTAGGTGAGTGGCTGTAAACAATGCTAGTGGGAAAAGGTAGCAACCTCTCACCAAGGGGTGAGGTGCGACAGGGCGTTAGTGCAGGAGAGACCCCAGACCGTGACACTCACACAGGTGCGGTAGCGCGGTCATGACCTGCGGGCTAATAGTGCTGGTAGTGGTGATGAGAATGGCAGAATTGGTGTACTAGAAGGGGATAAGCCCGACACCTGGCAGGTGCATAACCTTATGAGGCGAAAAACTCGTGGCTGATTTTGGCGCGACAGATGAGGCTCAAGAGTATAATCATTATACGCTCTTAAGCGGGTTGAGAGGCAACAGAAGTCTTACAATCGACTAGACGCCCAAGTGTATCCTTAAAGATTATGTGCGGTACGTCATGCTGCATCATTTAGCCATATGCCTACCGTTTCGGACAAGAAAAACGAAGGCTGTAGGGTCAATCAGCCAATCTCGATCTTCACGCCTATAATCTGCCTTGCAGATAAGTTCTTGGGAAGCCCTAAATATGATACATGTGGAAGTACCGAATCAACAGTCGTAGCATACCTGTGGTAGCCCAAACATAGCCCTTCAAGCCGTGGCCTGCTCTTGGCCCATCACCCCAAACGTTACATAAAGCGCGCAGGCAACGTTAAACGTGACAATAACTGCGTTCCAAATGATGGTACAGACGAAAAGCAACGCATATAAGAAGCCCTGGAGGAGGACTAGTAGCTGAGGCGGCTCAGGTGGGGTCCCTGTACGGTGTCGGAGAGGACCGCTTCGAGGTATCAGTAGCTTCGTCTGACATGTCCATGGTCATTGACATATACCCGGCAGTCGCAATGGTAACTCTCATGAGTCGATGATTCAGATCATAGAGTGTACATCTGCGCTGTGTTTTGGCTCAGCAAAAAGGACACAGGCCATTGTAGGCTGCTAAAATAAACACAACGCATGACGGCGTCCGCGATCTTGCATCCAGATACATGTTTTGAGGAGGAACAAATATACCTGGATTGGATTAGTTTCTTGTGGTGTGGACAGTCTCGCGGATACTGGAAACGTGAATGCGAGCAACTGAATCCCCAAAACGGCACCTTGACAGACGGGCGGATCAAACGGGAGAACTTGCTATCTCCCGTCTGATTAACACAAATGTCCTTAATTTTCCTGTAAACAGCAGGTTAACGCCTGATTTTTGGAGACAGGGACATGGAATTAGCATCCCAGGATCTGTAAACGGGCATTTAGTGAGAAGTTATCGACGTCATGCTTATTATGCCCTAGACGCACTGTGCCAGCAGAGGCAAATCTGATTTGCTGCTGAGACTGAAGCAATAACGCTATGCATGAACAAGGGAGGCCTTACCGGGTCACACGACGTGTGACCGAAGGCATCGTGTGGCCTGACGGGCTCTCTATGGTTAGGCTGTAAGTTCCCGTTCACAGCCGCACTCGTGCCTTCAAGAATTGGCTAGGATCACCGCCACAGACCTCAGCACGTGGCGTTCGCATGAGATCAGGAAGGGTGAGTTTTCTCCGTCTGAGATGTTGATGGCAGTGAAGGACTGAAACTGTTGTACTATTTGCTAGCAGCCTTAAGCAAGCTCCTCCTCTAGATATTTTCTACGTTCAGTGAAAGTACGCTTGCATTTACCTGCCTAAGAAGTCATCTGGTGTCACGGGTATATACTGTTCAGCTCCCAGCACCTGCTATCTACAGCAGTACTGTACCTTTTTGGTCAGTGTAGCACAGTGGAGCTGAGCTGTGTGCCTCACATCTGGCGATTCATGCTCCAAGAAGTGGTTTGCGGGGGCTTAGCAGCAGCGTAATATATTGCACAGCTACACTACAAAAAAAGCCTATGAGTTGCTCTCCAGCTCATCTGCAAGGGCCTCAAGGGTGTTGAGGGCCTCACGGAGCTTCCAGCAGGTGGCGCGGATGCCTGTAAAAATGTTAGCGGGCCTGTAGAATAAGCAGAAAAAGGCGTAACATACCCTTGCGAAACTTGCGGGGGATAGCGGCGGCGGGGCTGTGGAGCGAGGGCTCAGGCGAGGGTGTGCGGGCACCGCGCTTGCGCTTTGCGGTGGGCTTGGTGGTGGCTGCAACAGGAGTCAGTAAGAAAAATCGGAGCTGTAAGATCAAACATACTGGGCCGGAGGGAGCACTGACTCCCCTCGCTGCCGTGCGTGTGACAACGAGAGTTTGGCGAATTAGCTCTTGCGGCCAGCTTCTGGCGCCGCTAGATCAGTACTCGAGCAGAGCTGAGTTTGGTCTAAGAACTTACGATGTTTCTGAGACACAACATCGGTCGATGCTCGTCATGTGGCCTGCTGTCTTAGTGGCAACAGTAACCGCTCAGGTAGGGACCTTCGTTGAGGAACTGCAGCCAATGCTAAACGTTCCTCTGCCGTAGGTTTCCTTGATGTGTCCACAGTACCTTTCATTTTCACAAGCATCTCATCTAGAGCCTGCTGAATGAAACCAGACCCACTCCGATATAGTGGCTTTTGCGCAGGCGCACTGGGCAGTTTCGAAGTTTTCCAGTCTTGGATCGAAGGCTCACTCTTTTGGAGAGTGCTACCTTGACTATACCTTCGGGGCCTTGAGGTGACAAGTTCGCGGCTTGCATGCAGGTGAAGTCGTCCATCATTCACTCGAGGATGCAGGTCGTGCTCGGAGGCTTTGTGCCTCGGATTGACGACAAGCATGTTGTCATCGACCAACTCGAGAAGCTCCTTGAAGAATGAGGAACATTCCACGCGTATTCTGTAAATCTCCTATTGATGGACATCATCAATTGCAATTCGCGCTTTATCGAGTCTGGACATTTACTGACATTCTTGACTGCGTCTTTCACTCTTGCTTTCAATTTGCCGTCCTGCTTGGAGGTGATGAAGAACGTATCACTCCACTGCCCTCGCAGGGTGATGTCACGAGCCGAGCGTCTCTTCGTGAACTTCTCGATAAATTTGGGTCCTCCATGATACCAAGTGCTAAACTCCAGGAAAATGCAACCCATCGCCCAGATATCGCATAGAGTACTGCAAGTATGATCAATATCGAATTCGGGAGAACGATAGGTGGCCGGCTTTGGTACGCGACCTGTCAGAGCCCGTTCATCCTTATCGTTAAAATGAGCACCTCCAAAGTCGGTGATCTTAAGGATACCAAAGTGGGCGGTAGGACCAGAGGATTCCGAGTTTGGGTACCAGAGAATATTCTCTGGTTTCAGGTCTCCGTGACGACCGTGAAGAAGTATACCACTGAAAGGGACTCCCTCTTCGATAGTATGAATGGCACGCGGGAGCCTCACTCCATTTGCATCAATGAGTGGTTGCCATATGGATGACCCCGAGGTAGTCGGATATCGATGGATCTTGTATAACGCTTCAGCAAGCCCTTGACATTGCTCAGCTATCCACTGCTCCATCAATTTGCTTTTTGCTGGCTTTCTTTCCCAGTAGCCAAATAGATCGGACTCAGCCCAGGGAAAGATCAAGTGGTAGTTTTGGTTATGTTTGTACGTCGCCAATAGAGCGATCAAGTGTTTGTGTGAGTGATTTGTCTGGCGGAGCTTCTCAAGCACCTTACGTTCGTGATCGAAATCCTCGTGGACTCTTGATATCAAGGTCTTCACGGCAAAAATGTTACTTCTGTTCTGAGGAGCAACCCGTAGTCAGGATCTGAAACGAAGGAATATTGCTTAATCACGTACCTTGGGAGAGCAATGATCTGGGTGTATCTCAACCTTGTAGACATCACCAAAGCCGCCCTTCCGTGAGACATGTTTATGAGACAAATAAGGAAGGATCATCCCGTCTTCTAAATCTTTGTGGGATACGACTCCATCAAATTCAGGGAACCTCCAAGCCAGAACACTCCACTGTTTTTTCAAGAAGTCCTCTGTATCTGCAGGCTTTTTGAATCTCATATAAGGTCTTTGCGTGTTCCCTTTACTTCGGAGGACTTTAGCACCTATTGCTCCAGTCGGACAGGGGCATTCTACAAGTGGAAGATCTGCATCGCAGATTCCAGAGTCGACAAAGAGCCGGATCTTAGTTGGGCGATCCATCAGGCATAACACTATAAGTATCCCTTGCAACTTATGCTGTTCGTCTGGTGCCACGGGTTGTTTGAGAGTTTTGAAAAAGTCCTGAACAGCCGCATTGCCCCCGAGCGCCACTTCGAATCGAGTATGAGGCACAAATTTGATGTGAACGTCGGACGTTGTTTTAACGGCGGCGTCATTCACTCTCCTACACATCTTCTTCGCAGTGGCCCAGCGTCGAAAACTTCCAACCGTAGACTCTTGAGTGAGGGCATCGACCCTAGAATCGTTCAGTCTTTTGGGTCCTGATATAGGTTCGTCCTCGATGTAGTCGGCATTCCGTTTCTTGTACTCTTCTTCGTTTTTCAGTAATTCTTCCTTCCCGGATCGCACGTGATGCCACGTCGGCTGAGCACGACCTTCCTTGATTTTTCGATACTCGTCGGAGCCAGGAGAGATAGGCAACAATGGTTCGGTGTAGGATCGCAGCCTAAGCGGTACAGCTGGCCCTTACTCAGTTCCGCAACCTGCAAAAGCAACGTGGATCTAACCAGGTGTTACATACGTTGAAAGTCTTTGCAGCTGATCGCATTATGCTTCGCAAAAGCATGCGCATCGATCTCCACGAAAGATCTCCTTGCTACATATGGCTCTGCATTGTGATTGGTATGAGCATTTAGTGGTCGAGTGGTATGCCTGCTTGGAAAATCCCGCCGAGAAGGCATAACCTTGTAACTGAGATTGACGGAGGGCAACGACAGCCTTAGGCATTGAGGCAGGAACGGACATCGGCAATGATAAATATCACACCTGGAACACACTCTCCGATACCACAACTGTCACCCCCAGTGTGGGGTCCAAGACTCGTAGACTGAAGGGGCCTGGCTCAAATCCACACGCAAGGCTCGACAATACGAATGCGCATGTTGGCGGCATGTTGGCGGCTTGTTCCCAGCCGCGATTGGCGTGAGCTCATCATACCACGATACACCCTCGTGGAGAAAAACAAATGTACGGCGATCCTTCTCTAGTACTAGGGCTTGGGTTTCACAAACAGGTGTTCGCCGACATCCCCTGCAATAGACAGGCATGATGTGCTTACACACGCCGCAATGACACATGAATGTCTGACCTCCTTGTCCATGATTGCTGAGCCTCTTGCCGAGCACTGGTCAGAGTGCTTCAAAGCCACAATAAGTTGACTGCCTCAGATGGTGGGCAAGAGCACGTCGCCATTGGTGGTAATATGCTGCGGCTGAGACGACCGGTCTAGAGTGATGATAATACGTCTTTGACGTGCTCAGCCAAGCTCGGGTCGTAATCGCGTTATAAGTGCCCTCCCATGCATGTGAGCACGTTCACAGATCCACCGGTGCTAACATTTTGAAAATGTCCCGCTTCCTTAGCTTTCTCAAGAACACCAGAGCCATTGTCTCCAATACAAAGACGATCGGTCGACAGCGGAGTGCAAACAGCTTTTCTCGCATGTTCGGGTTTGATCGAAGGCAGAGCATATACGTTTCCGAAATAGATACTGAGAAGTTGTTGGACAAACTCGAGTGGAAATTTGGGGCCAATTTCGATGTCCATGTAGGAGATCTTGTAGATCAAAAGACCAACAATTGCTGACCTCGACTAGATGATGCATAACGTTTACAAGATCCGATCGCCACAACAGTTAACCCAGGTAAGATTCGATTGTGTTGTGTGCACTGTTGTTAAGAGCCTGACCGTCGTCGTGCAGGAGGAAATTGAGGATTGTAGATAGCGGGTCATAGATAGTGACGATCTGGTGTGAGGCCAAATCAGGAAATGAAAGGTCGCAAAAGGCAGGCGTGATCAGGGTTAGGCGAAATACAGGACCAGCTGGTGACGCCACGCGGCAAAAGTGCGTCGATGGCTTGCTTGAAGTGTGACGGAAAGGCTAGAAATCTGTAGGCACGGCCCGGCGGCGTTCCGTTTCGGCCGTCCCGAATTTCAAAAGGTCGACATAACCACGATCACCAACAATGATCACAGACCTTTAATCACCAATCTCAACTTCAGCTCAAGGCTGCACTCCTGCATCTGATATTATAAAGAGTTACATCCGATTGTTCTCTGCAAACATGGAATGCGCTGCAGTCCCTCCACGTATTGTGTGCCGGATGGACTGTGACAGGGCTGAGCCGCGAAGGCTTCAAGTTGAGTCCACCGGCATACTCGACTGCATAACGGAATAAGGCAAGACCTTCTGCTCATGATCATTGGATCGCCTGCACAATAAGATCAGCTGCATGTGGTAAGGCGATTCTTCTGCCTCAATGTCACGCTACGAAGGCTGCCGCCTGATGTTTGCCTTTTGCCTGCTGCGCAGACTATACCCTGTCCGTACTGACGACATCTGCTGAAGCGACTGGGAGACACTATATCAGGCCGAGCTTTTCGGACGCAGGCACAGAAGCTATGGTTTGCTTTCCTGCCTGACTCCTTCCCCATTGTTGAATAGTTTTCCACCAGATCAGCAACACAGACCACGATTGACCACATGGGTGACACGTCACATGAAGATTCATCCTCCGATGATGAGTCTAAATTTCCAGATACTCGAAAGAGCTGCAAGAGACTCAAACAACTTCTCACTGATAGGTCTCAATGGAGCGCATTCGAGAAGACGAACTCAAAGTTTGTCGCAAACGGCGTGGTCGAGGATCTGATCGACGAGCAAGCGATCAAAACCTCATTGAGGATCGGAGATCCTTCCCCAGAAGAGATCGATCTAATCTCTTTCATTTTTGGTCATGCCAGGAAGGCACTTGCGATCGCTATCCTCGCTCAGGCAAACACCAACGTTGCCATGAGATGGCTGAAGAAGAACAATTATCATGACAAAAAGTTGCCGATTCGACAACAGATCAAACCATGGAATCAATCATGGCGCAGCGATTTTTACGAAAAACAGTGGATGATCTTTGCGCCTACCTTCTCAACAGCGATCCAGCATCTCGATCTAGGAATTGTGCCTGCTACAGCGGGTCAGCCTTACGAACTGGAAGAGGCGCACATACTTCCCTTCATCGAAAAGTCCACTGAGACTGGCGAGGGCTCTTTTGGACAAGTCACGAAGTACGTATTGCACAAGGACCATATAGATCCAGTAAGTGAGGCAGTCTACCATGGGTGAACGTCCATTGAACTACCGCAGGCGCTTCCAAATCATACCGCGTATGCGGTGAAGTTCATCAAAGGAGAACACATGAATGCTCAAGAGGTCGCGGACGACTGGAGAAGGGAGGTGAAAGCGCTTCGTATGATGAATAAGCTGAACCAGGAACATATTGTCCGATTTGTTACTGCTTTCCGCCGCCGCAAGAGGGACCGCACGCAAGAGCATTATCTGATGTTCGAATGGGCCGACAATGGGAACCTTCGTGACTTGTGGAGAACCACACACACTCGCAACCTGACTTGCTCTTTAGTCAAAGACGTCGTCGAACAGATATTGGGGCTAGCTACAGCACTCCAAGCGGCTCACAATCTGAACAAAACAGAGGCGTCGTACCGTCACGGTGATCTGAAGCCCGAAAATATTCTTTGCTTTAAGGGTGAGGGCCAGATTGGGACGCTGAAGATCGGTGACTGGGGAGAAGCAAAGTTTCACGAAGAAGACCAGGTGACCGAGATGCGACCCAGCCGGACGACTGCGAAGCACGGCACCCGTCGATATGAGGCCCCTGAAGTTGAGACTGGCGTGCAAGTAAAATGGCTCGGGCAGTCGAGAAAACGTCGCTCTCGTTTGAATGATATATGGGCAATGGGCTGCATCACACTCGAATGCTTGGTCTGGATTCTGTATGGGCCAGATGGTCTCAAGCAATTCGATATTGATGTCGGTAACGAGAGCTTCTATCAATCCGATGTTCAGAACGGGAAGTACGTTGCTTGGGTACATCCTGCTGCGGTCCGATGGATGGATACAATGGCACAGGACTCCGCGTGCTCTGTAGGTACCACCGCCCTTGGGGACCTCCTGGAAGTCGTTAGAACGGCTCTTTTAGTGGTCAAGCTGCCAAGGCGACTAGGTACTGGCCTTCCTGAGCCGGATGCGGTAAGGCCTAGGGCAGATTCAGGCATAGGCACAAACACTACCAGAGATGAGGCTGCCATCGATCTCCAGAACGACGACCATCTCTCTAGCGACGACGAGACGCCTACTGTGGAGGGTGTTCCAATGGTTACTGTCACTGGCCCCGACAACGAACCTCAGCAGGAGCGGGAAGAGGAGGCCGAGAAAATTCCTGTGCCAGCAGAACCAGAAGAGGAAGGTCCAGCGCGATGTCTTTCCCGTGAATTCAAACGCCGTATGGAGCATATCTTCTATGAAGACGAGAACCCTGGCTACTGGGATACGCACGAGGAGAGGCCCAGAACAGTACCTTTGGACCTGGCGAGCTCGTCTGTCATTACTCGTCGCCCATCAGGATCGAAAGTAAGTACACTATAGTGAATTCTTAGTGCTCAATTACTTATACATCTCATAGGTCGACTATGCGCCTCCGGATCTTAATGAGAACGACTGGAAGCCACACCTGGACAACGACTACGCACTCAACATGTTCACCACCATTGGACAGGACAGATTGCCAAAGCAACCGTCGACCTGCAGTGTATCCGATGTATGTGATACTTGTAAAATGTTTGTCACAGGTCTTTGGGAGATCGACTTCGAGATGAAATACGATGCTACTGTACTCGCTGCTAGTGCTGCATCTAATACCTGTCAACTGTGCGCACTGCTTTGGCGAACATATGACCTTCATTGCAAGAGCAGACCCAAGAGTGTACGGGTGGAAAGAGCAGGGCATGTTTTGAAGATGAACAGCAACAGGGATGCTGTTCTGACCATCGTTCGTCAGTTTGGGAAGGACTTGGGCTCTACTACTGACTACCAGATTGGGCTTATCGAGATTCCAGAGGCAGGCAGTCCAACTCATATTGGTATCATTCAACATTGGCTCAGAGATTGTGATGATCGACATAAGGAGCCTCTTGTGCAATGCCGGAACACATCCAAAAGCGAGTTACCTACTAGGTTGCTAGACATTGGCTCTACTAGTAGCGGCGTTGTCTACTTGCGTGAGCGGAAAAATCTACCGGCGGATAATGGAGACTGGATAGCGCTTTCACATCAATGGGGCAAAGGGAAATATTGCACGACACGAAGCAATCTCGAAGAACACCTAAGCGGCATTAAGTTTGAAGACTTACCAGACACTTTCAAGGACGCGGTCAAGATCACTCGCGCTCTCGGCAAGCGATATCTCTGGATCGACTCTCTCTGTGTCATTCAAGGCAAGGATGGAGACTTCAAAGACGAAGCGAAGCGTATGGAAGGTGTGTACAGCGGCGCCTATTGTGTCATTGCAGCCAGTAGCGCGACCGATCACTACTCGGGATTCCTGAACAAGCGTAAACGCAGGGACTATGTTGGGTTCAAGCCACAAGAAAAGGATCAATCCCCCTTCTTCATCTGTGAAAACGTTGACAACTTCAAGAGACATGTATTGGACGCTGGTCTGAACAGTCGTGGCTGGGTCCTGCAAGAGCACGCGCTGGCCCGTCGCACTATCTTCTTCACTGAGCATCAAACATACTTCGAATGCGGCTGTGGAGTACAATGCGAGACATCAACGAAGTTGTGGAAGTAGGTCTCCATATCGTTTGTGAAAAACATTGAAGAAATTTGCTAACACCTGCCTGCAGTGGATCTGCATCATTCCTAGGGGACCCAGAGTTCCCACGGTTGCTGTACCAGGCGACACAAGGTGGCAAGATCCTCAGGATTCAAGGTTTATTCAGCAAATACTCGCGACTTGGACTGTCCAAAGCCTACGACAGACCTGTAGCCATTGCAGGACTGCAGAAAAGGCTGTTGAGCACAATCAGGGTCGCAGGAGACTTTGGCATACTCGATGGCCGCGACACCAAAGGTCTCCTCCGGCGAACCTTACTATGGCGTCGGGGCTCAAAGGTGTCGAGCCTGCGCCCCATCGACTTCTCGGAAAGCCAAGCGACAATATCAGTGCCATCATGGTCGTGGATGGCTTACGAAGGTGGTATAGATTATCTCAAACTGGAATTTGACCACTGGGACTGGGCACACTTGCAGTCACCCTGGAATACCGAGCACGAAAAGAGGATTGCAGACGTTGATCCAAGCACACTGAACATCACTCTCGTTTCCCACGCCCAAATCTGCGATTTCAAGGCTGCCACCGAGACTGAGATCGAGCGTCATCTTGATAACCAGGGACGTCTGTTGCAGGGAAGGCCATTGTGCGTTGTTCTTGGCAGAACAAAGGGCACCGATGCGGTTGACGATCAGAAGCACTGTGTGCTTATCGTTGCTCCAAAGCTGGACAGAGACACGTTTGGTAATAGGATCTATGAGCGGATCGGCGTTGCTATTTTGCCTGGCAAGTGCATTTCCCCAAACACCAAGATTGTACACATTCAGTGAACTGTAGCTATTGACTTTCAATCATCTTCGTATCTAACGAACTGTCACGACAATCGCCACTTGACATGTATATTTGTGCTGGTAAAGTATGTTGTAGAAACTTTGCTCGAAGGACGCAACCTGTTGGTCAATTCACACGACTCAATCACGAAAGCAAAGCAGTGGGCCGCACATGGTGCGCGGATTTCGCCGGATTATAGGATTCGGGCTGTTTTCGTTGTACTATTTCGATTCCTTGTTTTTGTAGGATGTATCCCGTCTGCAATGAGAATGTGAAGATGTTTTGTGGTGTAGGAGACCAAGTGGTGCTGCGCCAATGGCTGGTGTTCTGATCCGAGCTTCACGATGCTGATAAAGTAGGCGAGGTATGACGTCTGAGTGGTGAAGATCGAAACTTCTATACAGAGCTTGGAAGACGTCGCCGATCGATCTAAAATATCCGCTACAGCTCAGCAATCATTTCAATTAAGCTGACTTCCAATACATCTCGACTGCATCGTGTGAGGTAGGCATCTTGCATATTGCCAAGACCAAGCTTAGCTTCGCGCTGCAGCTCGGTGAACTTCCCAAGTTATCAATCACGACCACCAATACGTCCATCGCCCAACACCACCACAATGCTTGCAAGAAGCGCCCTATGTCCGGCGAGGGCATTCGCCAGCCGCTATCCGCCCGCGATCCTCGCGCCATGCTCGACTGCCGCAGCTTCCTTCTCCACATGCACACGACCAAGCAAGCTCCAGCAGCAGTCGCAAACACCTTTCTGCACACAACAACGCGCCGTTCCTAGCAAAATTGCCGCACGAAATGCCTCCACTTCGCCCTCAACACCAGCTGCCAAGCCCACTACCGGTGCATCAGCGCTCACATGGAACGACTTCTTTGCTCTACGCCGGACGCGCCGAAGGATTGGACAGGCCTCTTCAGGTATCAGCGCTATTGGAGTGACGTACTACGGATTGACATTCATGATCAACAATGGCTACGACGCTGTTCTGTCGGAGCAATTGGGCGGTTTCGACCCAATGATGCTGATGGGACTGAGCACGCTGGGCATGCTGGCTGCTGGATGGCTCATTGGCCCCATCTTCGGCAACCAGGTCTTCAATCTGGCATACAGAGGCGTTCTTCCCGAGTTCACAAGGGTAGGTTGTGTCAGGAAGACACTTCGGAGATCTCGACACTAACAAACACACAGAAAGATTCGGCCTTCTTCAACCGCATCAAGCGTCACCGCGTCGATCCCTCCGTCTCCTCGCTCGCAAACCCTCCACCAGACTACTACGGCGAGAAGATTGGCAGCGTAGCCGGCTACAGGCGATGGCTGAAGGACCAGCGCGCCTTCAACCTTAAGACAGGCAGACACCAGCGAGGACAGATCTAAGGAAATGATCCATGGACATGTCGAAACGCAGATACATACACAGGCGGAAACGCCCACCACTTTTCCTATCTGTAACTGATCGGCAGCGTTTAGCATGTCGTAGCACTGGCATCACGGCGCTTTCACGGCCGGTTTCTTATTGTTTGTAAAAATGTCGAACAGCAAATGGCAAGCTTTTGTACTTGTACACTATAATTGTCAAGCGTCATCTCCCCTCTCTGGGACACAGAGCTTCTCCACCGTTCGTTCTCACAGTTCTTTCTCTCCGTTATGTGCCTCGACGAGCATGATTGCAACACAATGCTGGACGACAAACACACAAAAACCTGAATAGTGTCTGGGACGACAGCCATGTATGCAGCTGGTGGCGATATACGACGCAACGACCCCGATGCAGCAATGATCAAAGCGACTTCCCAGGCCACCGTTATCAGATTGCTAACTTTGTTCAATCACACCTTCCCCAGAGGCTTGAATCACTCGGAAGCGACTTTTCAATCAATTGGATTCTGGGCCTGCAACACATTGCGAGCAGCTTCAGTGTGAACTGTGGAAACTGACAGACTTGCTTCTGCATATCTGGAGACTACAATTGCCCTGAGATCGAAGTCATTGTTGGCTTCCTGTGTCACGGTCGCTGACGTGTTGTTCCGTCATCTCGAAAGTATAGTGTTCACAAGAAATCAACATCTTCGTATGGTAAGTCATTCACATCACATACACTGCAGCAGAAAGCTTTGCTAGCCAATCCTGTTTTTGTTCTCGTCTTTTTACGGATTTCACTGACATATCTCCTTATAGTACTCCTTAAAGCCCGGCCGACGATCATTCGTTGGTGCTTGAGGAGGTAACACCCAAGGGGCCCAAATACTCCAGGAGGACGCATTCATCCAATTGTTGCTCCGTCGCTTGTTCGTCAGTCTTCTCCTGCGCCATCTCATCGGCGATCATGATGTGTGTCGGAGTTCCGACTTCTGCTGCCAGGACCATGTCCGTCTGGACAAGAAGAGGGTTGCGAGGCACGTCTTCAGCATTTTGAAGGAGAGTGTCGTAAGTCACAGCTCGTCGAACTGGCTTTGGCGCATGCATGGTCATAGCTGTCGCTGGTCGCACGAACTGCGCAATTCGATTCCCACCAGCTTGTGCATATGAATCTTCATCTTCATCAGGATCAAATCGAGCATCGAGCGAAGACCGCAGGGCAGCTTCCGCGACTTCATGGGCACGCTGGTGGCCCTCAGCAGTTGCCCACGTTTCAGCGCGCCAAGAAGGTGGTGACCGAGACGTGACAGGCGACTCCTGGTACGTCGCCGAGCGAGGCGTGTACGAGGGTGGCTTGCCACGCTGTGCCCCAGAGCGCTTGAGCGAAGATGTGCTGGTGTTCACGGTCAAATCTGGGCGCCGAATCTGCGGAACAGGCATCGGCTGTGTCCGCATGCGAGTCGGTGAGCAAGCTGGTGTGTTCTGAATAGAGTTATAAGCATCCTGTGAGGGGTTGAGAGCTTGCATGCGTCGAAGGCCCCGACGCTCCCATAAAGAATCAGCGCGCTTCTCCACTGGCTCAGGACGCTTCTGCGGATGATTTGAAGCTGTCATTGCCATCTTCTTCTTCTTCATCTGCTTCTCCTGTAGCTCATGCGCCGCCTTCATCGGCTCCCGTAGATACGTCCATGTCTCGCCAATGACGTACTTCTGCCAGTTGCATTTGGCCAGCTCACCGCAAGAACACATCTCAGCGTGAGAGACAGATGTCGTCGGCAGCCAACAGAGACGCTTACCACGGTGGTCTGTTGCAGGGATTACAGCACGATGAGACAGGTGGCCCGAAGGACAGACCTGGAGCTGACGCAACTCAGCCTCATCTTGAGTTGGTGCGAAGTCATCGCCCTGAGATGGGGTGATGGTCTCTGTCGTCTCGCAGTGCTTGCACAAGACATGATTGCAGCTACCGCACCCCAGGCGCTTGAATGGGTACGCGCCCTTGAAGTGAACCAGCGGAGTCTCGTGCCCACAACAACAGCACATCCACACACTGTCGTTAGACTCGCGAGAGTTCAGATTTGGGTACTCAATCACCTCGGCGCCACCGCCGGGTGGGGAGTACGGATTGCCACCACGCTCAGCAGGCTCAGCCAGTTCAAGCCGGCGCTTGACCTGCAAAGGCGTGAGGACCTCCGGGGCCTTCGGGATCTTCTTACCGAACAGCATCGTGAAGAGAGTTATGGTGGAGTGAGATGAGAGTGTGGATGATCTGAGACGATTAGAGCGAAGACCGGCAGATATAATATAGGATCGGATGGAGTGGTGAAAGGTGCCTGCTGAGGTCCCCCTGATCGTAGAGAGTGCTATGCGTTGCTCGTGCACAATGTCGAGAGCTGGGTGAAGATTGAAGTCGACCTCGAGCCTACATGACGATTGTCCCTGGAAAGCGGACAGTAACTTTCGAAGCTAGATGTTGCAATATACATTGGAGTATTGGATGTGTTGAAAGACGGTTTTCGGGTGGTAGATGGTTGCTAATGGTCAATTCATATATATCACAACGAGTCTAAATCTAATCAGCTTATTATTCATACGTAGATTAAGTCAATGGCATTGCTACGCACCGTAATACTTGTTATAGTCGCCAATTTGCTCGAACTCACGCCGCCGAATCATGGCGTTCTGGCAAAGCGGCCTACGCTGCTCCTCTGGAATCATATAAGTCTGTGCCCGATGAACAGCAGATGTATTTGGACGATGTTGAGACTGCATGTCTCGATCATCCCAAGTTGCAGAACGGGGAGTGTCTGGTAAATGATCGCGCCGGAGTAAAGAAACATTCGTTTCCAAGGTCGGGGCGGGGGCACGTTGGATTGGTGCCAGTGTTGGACGAAGTAGCGCAGTGCGCATCCTAGGGCGGTTGCGCCAGATGCAAGGAGTCATTCTTCAGGCTTCGATATGCAGCGCGATATACTTCTTGTTCAGCCTCCTCCCGTAGCTTGAGCGCTCATCGTCACGCATATAGCGTAGCTTTTCGAGCTGCTCCTTAGCCTCTTGGAGTTTGAGGTCGTCGTTAGCTTGCAGCTTGTCGAAGTATTCGTTCAAGTTTTGCTGCCGAGCTAGGTCAGCACGCTCCTGCTCCTTCTCCTTCTGCCGTTGGTTGTTAGGCTCAATGATTTCGAAGACCTTCTCCGCCTTAGCCTCCATAAGCTTGCTCTTTGCATCATGAGCAGCCTCTACTGGATTACGGTGGTAACGTCCCTCCTTGGGTGACGAGAAGGCCGCCGTGACGAGAAATACGAGGGGTACCTCAACTTCACACAGCTCAAGCGCTGCGCAAACCTCAGCATCTGCTGTAATCCTGTGCACAGTGTGTGCTGTACGTACCACTGAACACGCCGATTTCTACAGATCTGAAAATTACAATCGCGCTGACGCCTTCCGCGCCTGTTCTGCGAAGAGCCTTGTTCTGTCGCAAAGCTGAGACCACCAACAATCTCGCTCGGCCATCAAAACACACGCAAGTGCCCTACCTCATACCAGAAGTCCTGCTGCAGCCCCGTAAGTCAACAGTAACCTCTCTGTCGAGCGTTGGTTGAAGTTTCATGCAAGGTCGCGACCCGCATCGGTACTTGTGAGCCGAGCTTCATGCCCACTTCCAGCCCAGCTTCTTCAGTACTCTATGCCGCCTTGAAGCCGGTTCGGACTGTAGTTGACGGCGATTCAAAGCGACAAGATTGTCGCGTAATGGCTGGCACTTGGGATGACCTTCCCCAAACACCTTCTCGTAGCCTGAGAGCGCTTTCGAGTACAATATTCTGGTCTCGTCTATGCGGCCAAGGCTGTCAGCTAGCAAGCCGAGAGCCCACAGAGTGTTGAGAGCTGGAACATAGGTAGAGATGCCTACAGGGCCGACTGTCTTCTTGTAGCCTTCCAGCGCCTGCGTGTACATCTCCTCTGCCTTGTCGAGCTTTCCCTGGGCCCTGTAGAGGTTGCCCAGATTGTTGATTGTGATAAGTGTCGACGTGTGGTCTTCCCCTAGCGCCTTCTTATAGCCTTCCAGCGCCTGCGTGTACATCTTCTCTGCCCTGTCGAGCTTTCCCTGGTCACTGTAGAGGAGGCCCAGGTTGTTAGACGTACGCAGTGTCGATGTATGGTCTTGCCCTAGTGCCTTCTTGTAGCCTTCCAGTGCCTGCGTGTACACCTCCTCTGCCTTGTCGAGCTTTCCCTGGGCCCTGTAGAGGCTGCCCAGGTTGTTGATTGTGTTAAGTGTCGACGTGTGGTCTTCCCCTAGCGCCTTCTTGTAGCCTTCCAGCGCTTGCGTGTACATCT